GCAAATTCGCCTCACTTATTTTAAGACCATGAGTATTGGTCCGGCTGGGGCTCGAACCCTCGACCTCCCACACAACACGATCTGGCGCTCTAACTAATTGAGCTAACTACACATGTTATGTGGGTACATTTGTGATGTGGCTTTTGATGTCTGAGAACCCATTACATGTGGAGACTTAATTTGTGAAAAACCAAATGAAAGGAGAATATATACATCTTTTGATTACATTAATTAAGTTATATCTGTGAAATGTTTATTTCATTGTAATATTAATACATACCAAAAATGTCAGTAAATGAGTGACATACATGTATATGTATGACTGATGAACAGAGCTGGTTGCTAAATCAAGGACTATTATAAACAGACCTGGAACTAGAAGCTGAGAACCTGAGAAACTGAGAAACATTAAAACCATGTTCTCCAACCAGTGTAACAAAAATTCTAGACATGAGCCCGCATCTTCTTAAAGAAACTGAGGATGCAAGGCAAAATGGCAATCAGGAAACGTCAATAATATTATAAGATTTGGAGCTGAGTAGTCATGCTAGAGCAATAACATTGTCAATAACACTTCAGTTTACTCTGGTTCTGGTTCCAGCTTCCCATTCCAGGTTCCTAATTTTCCATATAGCCACTATTGCTACAATTTCAGTTGCCAAAAATTGTCAGGTTTTACTAGACATGGGGATCAAAACAGTCACAACTATCATCAAGGGTTACTATCAATCAAAATAGAGACAAACTTGGAAATACAGGTATACATGTATATGTGAGCCTTTCCAAAGGAATGTGTAATTAATGTTTACTATGAAAAACTTCAAAGTAGTTTAGAGTATTTATATTAATAGGTTTTTATTTGGTTTTCTCCACCTAAAGCTCCTTTCTGTTAGATTTCTGCACCATATTTGTAGACCTACAATTAGTACATGCTTCTTTCTTTTGATAGAGTCCACTACAAATTGTCCCCCTCCTAGATGTATACTGTATCTAGCTTGTGTGCAGCTGTAGCCCCTTCCCAAGGGGAAACAGAAGTTACTCGGGGGAGGGGGGGGAGGGTATGACCACACAAGGCTAACATGTATCCTTTGACCATTCATGTTTCAACATTTTCTCATTTGCCACAATTTTTTTCCTGGTTTGGGAAATTTAAGGCTGTTACTTAAAAATTTCCCGGTAATTAACTTTTCTGTCCAGGACTATATAAGCTATTATGGGGTAAGAGTGAGCCAGGTTTGTTTATGGATCGTAGATACATGGTATAAAGTGTTTATGATTTGTATTTATTTTTAATGAGTTTTTATTGGTACCAAAGTGCAGTAGTTTTCAAAGAATGTTTTTGTATAAACTATGTAACAATTAGACCACGAGGTCTAAGTTTTCAAAGCAAGTCGATCCACGGGAGACTTTCTCAACTGATCAGATTATGATTACCGTAAAACAGAATTTTGCAAATATTTGAGCAAATTATTTCCCCTTCGTTTTAATTCACGATTCTTTGTGTTCGTTTGGTTTCCGCTTCATTTTGTATGTCTACTATGGTTAGGCCCCAATATGGTCGGAATTTCGAGGCAAATTGTACTCATATTGTATCAATCTTTTTTTTTTTTTTTTTACAGAATTAAATATCGTAAGAAAAATCCTCGAATTGAAATCTTTCCGTTTTTTTTTTCCGTACCCAGAAACTGATTTCATGTTAAAATTGAATTTGGACACACTTCGACGAGTCAGAGTCAAACAATTAAAACAAACGTATTAGATCTTACCCAGTATTAGCACAAACATGTAGTGTAGTGATGATGCGTTTATGCACCTCATCCTGCGCCAGCCTTAGGTCAATAAGAAATTTCTTATGACTAAAGATGATTTACACGCATTTTTTCAATTATTATTTTCTTGTTTTTTTACCTGTTTAAGGTTCTCTTGGGCGGGCACAGCTAAAGTGCTGGGAAGCAAAGCAAGTTTTAGATGTCCATGGAACAAAAAAGGCATTTGAAGTATTGAGGGAAGCTTCCCGTTCGATAGAGAAAGTTAAAGACGAATCCACTGAATCATTCAAGCTCACCAAAGGATTTTATTTGCAGTCTGAAGGAGAAATCCTTTGGAGAAATGGGGACCACGAGAAAGCACTTGCAAGCCTGCAGTTGTCCTTAACATTCTCTGAGAAGCTTTTAATCGAGCATACAGATCTGGCACGGTGTTATAATGCTATTGGAAACTGCCAGTACAGTCTTAACAAGCTGGAGGAAGCACTTGAGTTCTACCTTAAAGCTTACAAGATGCAAGAGAAACTGGCTGGCTCTGAACATCACTTTGACATGCCAATGTATAAGAATCAAATTGGCACAGTGTATGAAGGTCAAGGAGATTATGAAACGGCAATTGAGTATTACAATGCTGCGCTGAAACTCCTGCACGAACTAAAACTTTCAGGATCATGGGACGAGGCACACTTTTGTAGAAATCTTGCTAATGCCCTCATGAAACAAAAGAAGCACTCAGAAGCAGTTGAACCTGCAAATAAGGCCTACGACATAAGGATGAAGATTGTCGGGAATCACCCACTGACTGTGCGTAGTATATTCCAGCGTGCAGTAATTCAGGTAAACTTAAGTAAGTACAAAAAAGCCTTGAAGCTTTTCCTTGAAGCATGGGAGATGGAGAAGACACTTGAGCCAGGAAACCACAGCGAAGTGTGGCGAAAGCTTATCAATGGTGTTACGGATATGTGTGATTTACTGAAAGAAAGAAAACAAAAAGAGAGATTTATAAAAGAAGCTTTCGAGTTTTGTCAAGGTTTCTGGGAAGGACAGAGACGTTCTCAACCGTTTGGTTTCAATGATTACAACCGAGAAATCATCGATACTATTTTGGAACTTGCTGGTGACAAGAAGTCTGTAAACAAGTACAAAGCAGAAAAGGAATGGTTCTATGAGAGGTATACCGCCGCAAAGGAAGACTTTCGAGGTAAGTCTAACCAGTCCCAGAGTGTTCCATGCCACTCAGGTAAAGAAAGTTTATAATATTATTGGCGGCAGTTGTTCAAATGGTGGATAGTGCTCTATGTTTTTCACTTATCCTCTGGACAGCGATTCATCGGTTGGAAAGTGTTGTCTGCTCTTTGAACAACTGGACCCTGAATTAGAATAGTGAGGTTGAGAACCATTAATTCGGAACCTTTGATCAATGGTATTTAGAGTAAATCGAACAGATTCTGTATCTTTGATAATCGAAGGAAAAGAACACCCGCGTGTACTTGCCAATAAGAAAGTTTTGCTGAACCGAATTTAGACTGCTTTTTATTCTTATATATCGATCAAGATTTAAAAGCTTCCACAATCCTTGAAAACAACATCGCTGTACCAGCAGAAAAACCACATACCAAGAATCCATTTACCTGTTTAAAAAAGGAAACAGTCCGGTTCGCAGATTAAATTCACGATTTAAGACTTCACTTCCTATGGAAGAATTTCGTGAATTGAATGACAGCAAAAATTGTGCTTATTAAACAAAGTATGGATGTTATTCAAAACGTTTGTTTTGTTTATAAAATCTTCTACAAATTACAGCCTCTGAGGGGGACGAAAGGTCTGAAACGAAATATGGAGATGAGGATGATACTGAAGAAGAGGTGGAGATCGAAGTTGACTCAACAGATGAAGATGATACAATGCTGGACACCATCCCTGCGAACAAGAGAAAGACTCAAATAGGAAGGTAACTTATTGTTTTTCAGAGTAGCCTTTTTCGTTGGGATTAATTTTGAGACCTTTGGATGGTATCAGGTTTAATGAAGAGAGAGAGGAAACGATGGGGCTGCTATGAAAATAGGATCTGTTGAGATACTAGACATGTACCACTTACAGATTCCAAGGGCATTTACTTGATTACCTTGCTTCAGTGCAAACTTCCATAAATTGTAATTACGTTACAATGAAATGGCTTCATCTTGGTCAAAATTTAGTTCGACCGCTTTATTTATACATGTAGTATCAGTTGGTTGTTGCAATACATCAGTTATGTGGATTGAATTGGCAGCGTTTAGTTACTTGACTGATCGTTTCGAAAATCAAAGTTCAGTTCTTCTTCAGAGGTGAAATAACAAACAAGGGAGATACATGGGATCTTCCAGAAGCTGGTGCGTCTATCACCTTCTTCCCAGGTTTTGTAAAAGAACCTTTGTTGATCACTTGTTCGTTGTGGAGTCTTCGAGCCCTGTCCCCTCCCAATGGAAGTAACGAGGTCTTGGTAAGCAATGTGATTGAACTATCACATGATGGTCCACCAGATCTAGAGTTCATGGAGGATGCTCCAGGAAGCATCTCCGTGGCTTTGTTGCACAGTGCCTCTAACTTCAAGGGATATGAAGTGGTCATTAAGCAGTTGGTTGATTTAGAAAACAATGAATGGATGGATTTGGAGACAAGGAATGGTTGGCATCCATCAGGTATTGATAAGAGAACTGCTGTTCAAATTATATCACTTAAGGCCTGATCCGTGAGAGTGTAATTAGTCAGGGACGCAACGTTGACTTGGAAAATGGTGACATTGTAGGCCATTTCATCCGGATAATTTGGTTTATTGACTGAGTTGATAATATGAATTTGCTGATGTTTCCAGTGAGGGATGCTCTGACGAAGGGAAAATGCTCGAACCGTTGGCTTCAGAAACTCTTTGTGGTGGCCAATTTGCATTATCAATTCAGTTGATAAAACCAAAATATCTAGCAACACTTCTGCCGATGCAGTACCACAGTCTCTTTAGAAAAATTTCCCCTTTAATTGCTTTATTGGGGTATCGCTTTGGTAGCCATCATGTAACCACGTCATTTACCATTTGTTAGGAAGCGAAATGGAAATCAACAAACACGTTTATTCCAACACGTTTATTCCAACACGTTTATTCCAACACGTTTAACGCTAAACTCACGGTAAACGAAAACGACCGCCAAACAAATTGCCACTCGATGAACTCAAAACGATCTACTCAAAAACTTTCAACTCCTCTATAAGAAACTTGCACGCGTCATTAAATAAAAACGTCGGAGTGACTTGCTTACGATATTTTAACCTACGTAATCCCAAAGCACGCGCACGCGAGTCGCGCGCGCTCAAGTTCGTTAACGTCTTCTTAACACAATGACTATCTCTGGTTTTTGTGCAGAACGCGTTCCTGACTGGATGTGCCAGTTTGCCGAAGCTACTCTCAAAAAAACATGCTTTTCCTCTTTCGCGGCAATCTGGCGCCTCAAATCTCTTGTCTTCTTCAAGCCAACTTCTGTGATCCCTAAATTCACCTGTACATTTCCAGACTACCCAAATGTTAACGTGGTTCTTCCTTGGAGTTCTGTTTCTGCTGATAAAGACTTTCGTTTGACTTTAAAGGTAAAACCCTCTTTTGTATCTGATAAGGGTGATTTACATCACCTTTTGAATGTCAGGTTTTCTTGTCCATTACCTTGATAGCATGTAACCTGTTTTTCAAGATACTGCATACATTATGAGGGGTTTATTTAACCCACTCCTCGTTATGTTTAATCGGAAGCATGATTACCCTGTCTTTGTTTTCTTTTTATCACGTGTTTTCTTTTTACTATGTACGCAGTAACATTACTGATTTTCGAACTTTGACTTTGCAATCCATAGTAAATTCGTCTTCATCGTTGTAGTCAAAATCATTGTCATGGTGTTTTGTTTTCTGAAGTAATAACTACGAGGTTATAATCACATCGCACGCTGAGTACAAATGTAATGCAGGTTTATCCTAGTTAGAAGTCTGTGCCCACAGCTTCACTGCCGCTTTCAACAACAAAGTGCACGTTCTGTTTTAAATTATAATTTTTAGATTAAAGACTGCACCACGGTCAGACTTGAATAGCTAAAAGGGGCTGCTGACCCGGCTAAAACAGGACGGCGTAGTTTATTTGATTATCTTGCATCAACATGAACGTCTAACCTTACGGGTTTTTGCCCTTGAACACAGGCACAGGAACCACCAAAAATTAACCAGCATAGGGAGGAATTGTTGGTTGGTCCGATTCTTCACATTTCCTGCTCTCATGATGAGGAGCTCTTGGAACCAGCAGAAATCAACGTCCCACTGGCGCTCTTTGAGGGTAAAAAAGAACTTGTAAACGCGCATTCAGGTCTGTGGAGAGTCTTACATTTCAAATCAACACAGGAGACCGTACAGTGGACTGATATCACAGATCAATTGGATATTCCAGTTTTCCTTACAGACGGAATAGTAAAATTCCAGGTCAAAACTTTCTGTCGGTAAGTTTAATTTTGGTGGATTGTGTGACTCAAAGGATTTTACTACAAAAGGAGAATGTGACACTTTTTTAATGAATTCCTTATGAATGAATTCCTTGTTTATATTGCGCCCTTTCTATACAGTATTCAAAGGCGAAAGGTGAACTTTTCATGGTTCAAAAGAAGTTGTCGTTTAGCCCTCACCATTGCTAGTGACTGAGGTCTTAAAAATAGGAATTGTGTTACATTGATTATGAACTCGGACTCATTTGCAATCGTAGTCCTTGCTTGTCACGAAATTAGTGCCTCCTTTCCTTGAGTGGCGTAGGAGAACTGGGTCTCTTCATTGTATAAACGCAATTTTTCCTCCATAGATTTTGGCTGGTATTCTTCCGGCAGTTCACTGGCGATGTTATCGGCACGGCATCTCAGTTGACGACTCTGGCCAGTAGATTGTGCGAAGGAATGGCGAAGCAAAGAGCAGATTTTTTAGCCTTCTTGCACGTGCGCATTGCTGATACAGTACCAACGAGTTACATTTTGAAAGTGGTTTGCTTCCCTACTCATTTGAGATATGATGCGTATCAAATTATAAAATTATCCAACATCACAGTGATTTTTCAAGGAGGAGGGACCTCAGACGAACCACTCTATAACGGTGAGAGGACAAAAGTGTCTCTTTCAGACGGATTTAAGTTACAAGGAGCAGGACAAGACACATTTTTAACGTAAGTAGCTTAACTGATTGGATGGTTCTCTCAATCGATGTTAAGTTGAAAAAGTTTAACGATCATTATTACAGAACTGTCTCGAAATGATCATATTCATCCATGCACCTTTGGGGAATTAAAAAAGGGCGAGTACGAGAGCGGCGTGTTCTCATTATTGTCTTCTTTTTGTTAGTGTTGTTGTTAATTTGTTCTCGTGGGTTGTTTCTTTGCTTTTTTTATGTCTTTGCATGTTGTTTCATTTTTATAGCTTTTAATTTCTTTGTATTTCTTTGTTTTTTTTTTTTGTTCCTGTTATTACTTTTTTTTTTCTTGTACTACTTTTTTGTGGGCTGAGGTAATTTCATAGCTTTATTTTGTTTCACTTACTCTAGAATATATAGATTTTCATATAAATGTCTTACTTTCCAAACTTTGTTTAAATTTTGAGGTGAAACAGAGTGACCAGCTGCTTCTCGATATCTGTACTTTGCTGCATATATAAAGTCTCGATAACTGAAATATATGAAAATAGCACCCGAACTTATTCCCATTAGAACAATTGTTGAATTCTATAACTAGAAACAAACCAAAAAGAAATTTCAAATAGGAAGGGGTTTGGACGAACAGTATTTGAAGAGTAGGTACAAAATCGTAGCCATTTTCCTGTATTTTTTTCTCTTCTATATTATTTGTCTATTTTGATTTTCTTCTGTGTGCTACCTGTAGGTTTGGACGTCAAGGACCAGTCCACAAAGATATCTGTGTTACAATTCAAGACAAGACGAAACTGATCGTGGACTTTCAAAAATGTCCGGCTAGTGTGGATAACGAGGATTCCCTAGTACTATGTTCAATACCGCTATCCGAAGACATAGAACAGGTATTTCCCCTTGCACTCCACTTGCGTATAGATGAAGGTGAACACGTCGACGGTGAAGTAGACGTAAATTCAAATAACTATCTTGCGATCACGGCATTAAGATAAGTCAACATTTTAGAAAAAAAAAGAATATTACACAGTTTGCAGAACCACATCAGTGCAAGACTCGAAAGCAAAAACTAAACCATGTATTTACAAGTATTCCATTGAAAAATCCACAAATGTTCCAGTAATCAAGCGAAGTAAACATCCAATTAGGCTCTAAGGCAGGTTACTACACCTTCAGCAAGCGAAATTACACAACACACGAAATATGATAAAACTTACTGACTGTTTCGAATTCAGAGTGACCCTAACTCAAAATTTTGGTTGCAAAATAATGCGATTGTAAACATGGAGAGTATTTTTTTTTTCGACAAAGCACATTGTCGATGTCCCGGATGTTGACGTCAAATGTAGACACGCATTGGGAGCTTCAAAGAACGCGGTAATTAAAAGACCCAGCGTCTTTAAGGAAAACACGCTATTTTTACATGATATTCGCCATTTTGCCATGATCGATTTATGAAACAGTTGATAGAAAACGTGAGCAGTACCATTTTCCTCCCTCCAAATCTGCAATTTTTGTGGTATAAGCTCGCACCTTTAATGCTTGACTCACTTCCTCTCAAGACTGTTCTCCAAAGAAACACACGCCAGTAGGCCCAAGTTTGGTATAAGTAGTTTTGCCATTAGGTGTACCACGTGACGACAACAGCTTCATTACTACTACTCTTTATTTGTCTCCAATTAAGTAAACGTCACGAATGAAACAACCCGTTGCTTACAACCTCATTTTAGTTGACAAATAATGGTAACGTTTAGACGATTGATCCTTTTAAAAAGCCCAATTTCATTAAGTTCTCCCACTCTGATGAACTCCCGATGATTGGAACACTTTTATTTGCCATTAATTTGTCTGTGTTTCTTTATAGGTTCGTCCTCGGTTAAATGCACCTAGTACGTCACAAGTGGCATCCCAGAAACTTCGTCTTCCTCATACTTCACAGAGGTTGAAGGTTACTCTTCTAGCTGACGAGTGGACATCACTTGCCGGTGGTTTGTCAACGTTCAACAGGGAACTTGCCATCAACTTAGCAAAGCAATCCTCATTGGAAGTCACCTTGTTTGTCCCCAAGAATGCTTGCCACCCTAAACATAAGGAAGAGGCTAAAAGACATAACGTAACTATTCTTGAAGCAAAGTAGCTCATTGCCTATGATCATCGTGATGGGTTAAACTTTCCGTCGCCTGACCTTAACGCGGATGTCGTGATTGGTCATGGGCAGAAACTTGGGCGTCAAGGACAAATATTTCAAGCTTCTCCCAGCAATTGTAAATGGATTCAAGTGGTACATACTTATCCTGAAGAACTTGGTACCCTCAAAGACTCTGACCAACCTATTTATGAAGGAAGGAAGAAACAGCGCATTGAACTTGACCTCTGTAAAATTGCGGATCTTGTCGTAACAGTGGGATCCAAACTGCGAAATGCTTACTCTTCTAGCCTCCTGGATCAAAATATCTTTACTCTCACTCCAGGACTTTTCAAAGAATTTGAAAGTTTGCAACCTGCTTCCTATAGAAATTCCGAGTTCAAAGTGTTGTTGTGTGGTCGCGCTGATCCGGAGGACTTTGAACTAAAAGGTTATGATATTGCTGTCGAAGCATTTGCAAGTAAAGAGCTGAAATTTCCACCTTTCCGTCTTGTATTTGTTGGTACTCATGATGGAAAACAAGACGAAATGAGAGGAAAGCTCCTTAAATACGGTATCGATAAAAAGCAGTTGTTCGTCAGGGAATTTGTAGAAAGCAGGGAAAAAATGAAGGAACTGCTGGGTGAGGTTCATCTAGCCCTCATGCCATCGCAGGCTGAGGGTTTCGGTCTCATTGCTCTTGAAGCTCTCTCTGGTGGTCTTCCAGTTCTAGTGGGCAGAAATTCAGGGTTTGCTGAAGCCATAAAAGACCTAGAATTTGGCAAATCATGTATTGTCGAATCAGAAAATCCAAAGCAATGGGCAGAGGGAATCAAGGCGACTGAATCTGAACACGAACAGCGCCTCGAAGAGATCCTTGAGCTACGTGAATCCTATGGGAAGCAATACAGCTGGGATACGCAATGTGAAGATCTTGTGAAAAAGATGAAAAACATGGTTTATAATGTAGAGTAACTGATAAGGCTGGTCTTTCTTCGTAGTTTTTAATTCTTTCTTACATTCCGTATTCCATACGTCACACTTTTTCAAACCGATTTCAATACAGTTGAAGAGTCCTTGAAGATGGTTAGTTTTTACTGTAATATTCATTGAGGCCTAAAGCAAATCATGTTTCTAATAACGAAGAAAATCATGTTTCTAATAACGAAGAAAATAGTACTTTTAGACCGTAGTAATATTGCAAATGGCGCAGCGAGGTACGCACAAAAACTCCCGAATACCAATATTCATCAGCATGGGTAGAGCAAGCGAGGTTATTGAGTAGTTTATTAAATGGCACTCTGCAAAATTTTTTTTATTTGGTTACCGGCGGTCGTTTCTCCAACGTGTCAGTTCACCAACGTCAGTTCGCCAACGCACGAGGTCGTTTCGTCAACGACTAATGTCAGTTCGCCAACGCTTATACGTCAGTTCGCCAACGCTTATATGTCAGTTCGCCAACGCTTGTATGTCAGTTCGCCAACATCCAAAATAATCGTAATTACAAATGACCAATGGAATAAAATTTTACTTTTGATGTATTCATGAGTGTTCGTAAGTTAAGATCGTTTGAAATTGTTCGTTTCACTCTCCCCAATTTCTCATTTCGTCGTCGGCTGATCGTGTTTGAGAAAGACTCGACGGCCGATCGTAAAACCTTTTATAAAGTCGATCGATCGACGGCCGATCGTGTTTGAAAAAAGTTTGGAAACAATCCACGGCTTCTACCCCGTAGACTATGAACCTTCTGTCAATCCAGGCGAGGAAATTTTGAATTGGCCGGCTTCTCGAACAAAAATACAAGGCTTATTACCGTTTCCGTGGAAACCAAGAGATTATAACCGTCCGGATGGCAAAATGCGGACCAATTGAGATCCAATCAGGATACCTTACCATATAAGAATAACTTTTAAACATGAACTTAAGAATTGAAACCTACATTGTTTACTTAGTTTCCTTACATCACTGAACTCACTCCAACTTCTTTTCAGCCTGTAAACAGATGTATTCGTCCATCTCCTGTGTTCTGATCATCTCATAAACAATATTATGTTTATGATAATGTTTGTTATGTTGCTATGAAAATTGATAATGACTCGCCATTTACACTGAAACAGTTTCACTGTAACGTCTCCCTATGAGTAAAAAAAAGTTCATTGATGCAGTCAAAAACGAAAAACTTTTTTTTGTTTTTGACGAAAGTTAATCAATAATCGTGATAGAAATTTGTCCGATGTTGGCGTCAGGGGAAAAAGACTCGACTAACAATATAAAAAATGAAAAATGTTTCAAAGAATTTTGAGATCATTTTTGCGATAAATATATTCTCATAGGCTATTAAAGAGTTCATGAATCAGGCTGAAATAGAGTGGTATTTTTATGTGAAGAGCCTTCTAGCTTTTCTTTAGACGTAAATATTGCTTGTGAGCTGGTCACGTTCTGCTACCCAAAAGGAAAGGAGGACTGTTATGTCCCACCTTGTAATAAAGTTGACCAGCCCACGGCTATAACCAACGTCGATTATCATAAAAAGGATAATGATTAAAATAATGATAGTCATAGCCATAGTCATCGCCATTATTAGGGAAGCAGGAATGGCGTAGTGGCGAGAGCACTCGCCTCCCACCAAAGTGGCCGGGTTCGATTCCCGAACCCGACGCCATAAGTGGGTTGAGTTTGTGTTGGTTCTCTACTCTGCTTCGAGGGTTTTTCTCCGGGTTCTCCGGTTTTCCTCCCTCACCAAAAACCAACATACAGCTAATTCCAGCTGGATTTAAGCTGTGCTCCAAGGTCACACATGGACCGTATAGCGACTGCCAGAGGCGCCATTGTAAGCTTTCGGTTCGACCTTGTTGAGCTGCGTCGTTGCTGTACTTTGCGACGGCGAGTAGCAGTGACAATTATTACTATTTAGTGACAATTATCATCATCATTATCGTGCTGGTAACCATATCCGGGGTCTCTTTTTCCCTCAGAACGAGACTTGTATCCAGTCTCATACACTTTGTTTGCCTCCCAACCTATCACAGGTGCCCTATTGTATGAATATCCATGTACTATTGAAAGAAAGAAACTCGCTCGACTTAAAGATGTTTAGGTTACTTAACACGCCTTTTCTCACTAGAGTGCATGTGAGGAGGACAGTTTCCTATGTGGTGATCATAGTTTACGTGTTCCCAAATATCAAGGTGACAGTGTTCGATGCCAGTGTAAGCATGGCTTCACAGAAAAAACTTGCGGTAGCTATATTTCGCTGGCTTGGAATGAAAAAACCAATAATTATCATATACAAAAATAGTCTTGAATAGAATAGGTTCATTTTTTCTTCCCAATAGAACCAAAAAGCTGTTCTCAATTGTTTGAAGATGGCTTCCATTCTACTGGCGTGTAAACCATTAATCCAGATGGTGGCAAACCAATCCAAGTTTTATGTTCATGACTACAGATGGTGCACGTTGGACCGTTTTTCAGAAACGCTTGGACGGCTCTGTTGACTTCTATCTTAAATGGGAATTCTACAAAAACGGCTTTGGAAACCTGGGAGAAGACTTCTAGCTTGGAAACGAAAATCTTCACCGTTTAACAACGGCTGAAGATGTCATGTTGAGAATTGACCTGGAGGACTTTAAAGGGAACATCACGCACGCTGAGTACACGAGTTTTAAAGTGGCAGACAAAGCTGACAAGTACCGGCTTTTGATTGGAGGATACAATGGCACTGCTGGTGACTCTACGACGCTGCATAGGTAAGAAAGTATATTCATGTTGACTAAGAAAGTATCCATTACCAGTCGCGGGAGTCACATTACCATTAACGGTGTTGCCTTAGAAAATTGATATCGGAGGAAACTGATCATGAACAGCCTCTCACATCTAGTTTGGATTTTGAACTGGAGGGAAAGATTCGCGAATTAAAATGTTTATTTTGAATTGGAAGCTTGATGTCTTATAATTGATCACCATCTCATTCTGCAGTTGCTAATAGAGTAACATAGGCTCACGGCTGTTAGGTATTTTTTCTCTTTCATGTTCTATCTGTCTATCTAGTTGCAACACTAATAACATAAACAAAGTATCAACAAAATCAACGTGATAGAGCCGTTCTATCTTGAAATTTGAAGATATGACGTTGGAAACAGAAACCATAGAATTCTTATAGTGAATGGTATAACATTTGACAGATTTAGCAATTGAGTTTTAAAACGATTGGATGCTGGAATAGAAACAAAACGAAATAAGGAACCTATTACAATATAACTCATCGTTACAAAAGTAAGAAAATAATTAACCAAAATAGACTTCCGTGAACCTCAAGCAAACTACATCAACGCGCTCTTCTTGTAATAAATAAGAAAGGAAAATGTTCCCGCTATTTCCAGACCTCGGTAAGATCGAGGGCTTAACACTATTTCCGAGATGTTTCAAGAAAAACGCGCCAAGAGCGAGAGTTTGGTTAGAGGTCTCGTGATTTGATTACTTATTCCGTTACAAGAAAAACTCAGATCGCGTGCAAAATCCTCTTTTCATGAACGTAATACTTGCATGTACGCGATACAGTAAAGTGATACAACACAAGCATAAATAAATAATTAATACTTTCCACGCGGTGACAACGAGCTTGAATGAGATTTTATTTCGTATCAACAGAATGCAGTTCTCTACGAATGATCATGACAATGATGTACACAGTATCTACCACTGCTCCAAACAATTCAGGGGAGCGGGGTAGTACGTAAGTTGCCTTGATTCTAATCTGAACGCATTGTACCTCAATGACTCCCATGTCTCTCATGCTAATGGGGTCACCTGGCGCACCTTCAGAGGCCTTTTCTACTCACTAAAACGCACCGAAATGAAAGTGAAAACGAAAGCATAAGATAATGTCTATTCCCGAATAATGCGCCGATCAAATGGAGGCCTCAACATCCTTCCCGGGCAACCTATAGGTATTTGATTGTCATTCGTTCTGGGGGGCGGGGAACTTGTACCTTGCAGCCTATGTGAGGTGGGCAATTTGAACTGGAACTGTCAAGTCTCAAAAAAATTGATCAACAAATCCGTCCCTTGTGTGGGGCAAATGAATACAGGGGAGGGATTTTGAACGAACCAGTCTTCAAAATCTCAAATGCTCACGGGTAGCCCGAGAGGGATGTTAAAGTTTCGAATTGATCGACACTTGTCAAAAAGTTAAGGATTTGACCTAAAACCCGCACTAAACTAAGCTCAGAATGTTACTACGAATATTTGATAACATCACTAAATTGAACTTTGTTGGTAGCTTCACTTTAATTTCTAACCTTGAATTAGTCTTAAGGAATAGCCTATGGTAGACGTCATAATTTCAATTTAAAAAAAAAAGTCTGTTATATCCATTTTTTGTTTCTTATCAAAGTTTACAAAGCCTGGAACCTTCCTTAAAATGTATTACAAAGTACCTATTTCACTAGTATAGACCCCACAATCATCCATTGCGATTTAGTATGAGGCACATGCTCCCCTTAATGAATGCAAGAACTTGAGGATATACATACATGTGCTGCTAAAATCATATACAGGCTGTCTTGGGACATTCGAGTCCTGGATTTCTTAGCCCAGACCAAATGGGAGTCATACTAACATATGTACGAAAACAAACTGCATGTAATTTCATGTTCTTTAATTGAATAACAGCAGTAACTCTCATTATAATCTACACCAAGATTACATTTATGATTGATAACTATTTACAAACATTTTGATTTACACTTAAACATTTTGATTACTATAGCATAGTTGTGTTATGTACACGTAAGTCCACATCAGCTCTGTTGCTTTTAACCTTTTAACCTGCTTTAAATAAATGACTGATTTACGCTGACTGATTTCATTGCTCGACCAAATCATTAAAGTGATTGTTGTTAACGACACATCCTTCAGAAGAACTCTTGACAAACGTGGGGTTGTGTATAGTTGGATAGGGGCGGTCAGCGCCGTCAGCTTTCACAACCCTCCCCCCCCCTCCCCCTTCCCTCACGATTGAGCATGGGCATTGAACTTTGATGATAATCGGTCGGGGTTGAACACGTCGGTAACTTTTTCTGAGTAATGAAGTCACCAACGACAACAAAGAAAAGCCAAAAGACTATTATGAATCTCCTTCTCTTGATGAAGCCTCCGTGTTCCCTTCTCTATCAGAGGAGCCTTCCTAGTCTGTGTTACTTTGCTCTGTTATTTTAGTTTGTTTTTTTTATATATATATATTTTTCTTCTTGGGATACTTTTATTTTGAAGTTTACTTCAAACTACAATTAAGCAATAAACCAAACTTCCTATCGGTTCACCGGCTCATGAACCACGCGGGATGTCGGGAGAACACGAAAAAAGATTGTAAACCACGAGTCGTAGCAATGTGGTTTAAAAACTTTCCGAATAATCTATTCAAACATAATTTTCATTGTTTTCCGCAAAAGCACCAACAATCAGCGACAAAACTGTTGATACGTTTACCTTTTCAACCCCCTATTATTTAAGTTTTATCTCTTTTTTACCCTTAAGTTACCCTTGGCGCCCCCATCCCTCAGAACAATGTAATGTGATTCCATAAGCTTTTAGAGCCACAGTCAACACTAAATGAGGGAGAGGGGGAGAGGGGAAAGGGGAAGGGGGAAGGGGGAAGGGGTGTTGTCAATGATTTAGAGTGTAGCACTAGCATTTGTGAGTTATCTGCGGATAAATGGAACCTGTCAAAGATGGTGAGTCAATTGATGTTGACGTTGATTGTAGGCTTAACGAAGGGAAATTACGATGATAATAGCATGAAATCTATCCTTCCAAAACTGATAGTATGAGAAGGAGGAAGAGGGCCTGACTTGGAGGGTCTAATGAAGTAAGGGTGGGGACAGAGATGAGGAATCTGTTGTGGGAGATCTGAGATGGCTAAAGCATTCCAAACCCCATTTTTTATTTAGCTGCTCAAGCCTTGGCTCAGTTACGATTTTCTTCCAAGAAAACATAAAAGTTAACGGATGGTACATGTTAAATCATTCCGATGATACCAAACAGAGAGGACACTGCAGCACACGGTTGGCACATCTCTGTGATATTGAGTTGAAATGGCACCATATTTGCACTTACCACATTCGACAGACTCGGCAAAAAGCAGGTCAACTTTCGCGCTTTACTATGTGTAGGAAGCTAAAGAAAACTTGAGATGCGCTGAACTGTAAACTCTTTTTATTACATGAACAACGATTCACTTAAATCAAATGCATAAATCCGCTGAATAAAGCAAAATAACAACCGAATCACGTACGCTCAGTATTCCTACGCATTCTACGCATTCTTCTTAAAACAAACTGCTGGATCGCTAAAACAATCGGACATCGTTCTAAGAGAAGCAAAAAGGCTACCGCAGGCAGACTATACGTTTAGCAGTTCGGGATCCATGATAAATTAGATTAAGGGTTGAACCCAGGTAACTATTTTCAGTACAACCGGAAAATTTTACCACAACGGAAACCTAATCTGATCCCAAACGAAGCCAATGATCCTTTGGGAAACCTTGGGCAGGAGCTCAGTGTAATCCCAGCTATTGACTCCTTTTGGATTTTCCCTTTGCCTTGATTAGCTGATGGATTACTTTGGTTTTGATTTTCGACACAATCGAAATGCACTCTTCCTCGAGTGTCAAAGTTGTCTCTGACTTGAGACAGAACTGGGACAGTACTGGGTTTTCAAGTATTTTAGCAAACACTAAGCCAATAGAAAGTCAAATAGGGAGACAGTAAAAAAAAAAGGGCAAAGCTGTTCCAAAGAATTTGTTCAATACATTTCAAGAGTAAATTAACTTAAGGAAATGAGGAGCAATATGAATATATATTTAAAACGTACATTTACAACTTTCTACAATACGACGTCCCTTATCAAAACTAATTAAGCGTATAAAAGCTCAAAATTGTTAGCATGAGCTTTAAAATAGTGTTTTGTGTTTCTTTTTATTCCTATCTTTCGGACGATTTCCATTTTTTTTATCCCCTTTTTTCCCTATGGAGGGTCTACTGATATGTGCTTTCTTTTTTCGTCTAAAAACGTACATTTTCTTTTTTTTCCTTATGTCACAGCACGTTTTCGGACAGGCTTCTGAGCATTCTGAGAAACAAGCGGGCTGACACTGCAGAAGAGGACTAGATAACAATTCAGATAAATGATGCACCATTTTTGCTTTGTAGTCTGCGTCAATATTCTTTAGAGATCTCCCAAGTGGTGGAACTGTTTCTTCGGGTGATTTCACCAAGAACGGAGATACGCCTTGACGTTGACAACAATAAATGGGGCATGTAGGAGCACACGATGACAAACAAATAGCTGGGCATTGTTTCGTCATATGAGGGGGTATTGAAAGGTAAGACCCTTGAAAAGCTGTCCCGTTACCGATTGGAGTCTGTGACGATGGTTGAGGTAGGTAAAGTGGATGATCTGTTGCTCCTAAACAACACTTTAAGGGGCAGGAGCTGTCACAGTGATAAGAGCATTGCGATGGGCACGCATCCGATGACGACCATGGCAATTTTATCGGAAGGTATGGAGCCTCGCAACAATTTTTGGGACAGCTTGGAAGGCAATTATCAATACAAGTACTCGGACAGCTATTCAACGGTGAAATCAATATCTTGCAGCAAAATTTTGGACACTGTGGTAAACAGCTGGTACTGCAAGTGGAAGGGCATATTTGAGGAGCTGAAGTCGGCTGTTGTGTTGAAGGTTGTGGCATTGAACAACAAAATGAAGGGCAAGATCTATCACATGTGTCCTGACAGTGATCGGGGCAAAGTGAAAGTGGAAATAATTTGATTACGCAGCAGTGCTTCGGACAAGTTGGAAGACAAGTTGTTTTGCAAATCGAGTGACAAGCAAGTTGTGCAGGCGCAACCGTCGGTAAATATTGTGGTGCACAGCAGTTACTGGGACATGATGGCGCACAGCTGGTCTGACATTGACTTGGACATGTTTTAGGCGAGACAACTTTGCAACAATGAACAGGACATGACTGATGACAGTTTATGTGACATTTAGGTGGACAAACGAGATGATCAGACGATAAAAGAGGATTGAGAGTTTGAGGGCAGCAATGGTCAGGGCAAGCTGGTCCACAAATTAGATTGCAATGATCTGGACATGCTGGGTGCTCTTTAGAGGTCCTACAGCATTTGCTTGGACACGTTTTCAGACACGTTAAATCTTTTCCACATCCTGCAGGACAGCTCGCTGGTTCCGGCTTTTGTAATTTGGCTTTGGAAACAGGAAGAATATACGAAAACGTCAGAAGTCCTTTCGTGAAATCATCTACGGTACATGCACGGAGGCTGCAAATGGAGGTTTAGGTCTTAGAATCTATATTAAAGGCAAGAAAAAGGTTCTCGATGTCAAAATCCAGTAAGCTGATCCATTCTCGCGCAATAAATCGAACAAAAGGTGAAAGGTTTCTCGTATGATAATTAAGGATGATTCAACATGCACACGTGTCTGTTTTGCCGACTAAGAATATATTCTTGTAAAATTATATTACTTCTTGAAAATCATTATTTTCAAAAATTAATTACGTAGATATAAAGTTTGCGTTTTGCTGGCGTGCTCTCTAGTATCGTAAAAATGTCCCAATAGTTTTTTTTCAAGATTGTGGGCCGGTTGAATGTCCGCTACTTACCAACACAATGGTGGCCGTCAAAAACAAACCCAGGTATGCAAATGCAGATTCCACGGTGACATTGAGAGTGAGGTGGGCAGCCTTGGCAGTCATCCTCTAAATTGTTATTCAGAAAAACTCGATTAGGAAGCAGTCTTAGAGTAGCGATTTCAAACTTCAACTGCCTGACTGAACAAACATCATTAAAATGTACGCTTAAGACATGAAGAGAGATTGTACTGCGTCATGATACCTAGAGCGTTTTTATTTCGATTGTGTAAAAACCAAGATTGAAGTAATCTCAACAGCCAATCTGAAGGAAAGAAAATACCCTTCAAAGCTGATGATAACTCGAAGTAAAGACAAGCAAACCGTCTAAAGCAAGGTAAAACGCGGCGGCTAAGACGTAATTTGGGATTTACGTCTGATTAGTCAAGAGAGTGGCGCGAGTTTTCTGGAACAATCGCTGAGCGAAATAAAGCAAAACCAAACCAACCTCGTATTACAGTTGACCTTTAATTGAAAATTGGTCTAAAATTCAAGATTTTCTCAAGAGCAAGTTCAATAATCATTTCATACTTCTTTTTTTCTTTTTATTCATTTACTTTTTTTTTTAGTCTTTGGCACTCTTGATATTATATTTGCTTGTTCGAAAGATGTCGACTTACCGTGGCACTGCTGGCCGTTACCAATAAATCCAATCTTGCAAACGCATTCATTGTTTATGCAAGTTGCATTGGGGCTGCAATGATGGCAACGTTTAACTAGATTAATAAAGATAATTGAATGTGTTAGTAAAGTCTACCATTACTTAGAAAGTTTTGACTTTCTGCTTATTCTTTCCAGATACATATGTAGCTATCATCATCATGAAATTGAAAAATGCCAGCTGTATTTTTAGTCCAGAGGTTTACTGCTAGAATAGCACCCAAAATAGCAATCTTTCTGACGTTGCACCTCAGTATATGTACGAGAAAAAGTAAGCGTGTGCGATTTGAAAATTATCCTATGACGAAATATTTGAGAGTATTATCTAACGATAAGAAAATAAAACTTTTTGTGGGATTTTCTGGAAGCTAATGTCTGCTTCTGTATTTGAGTTCTACATATATGCATATATTTGGACACGTAAAGGGTTTGAAGGTCAAGTCCATACTGGAGTAAAGGGGCCTAATACGCTGGCGCTCATCCAGGTCTCAATTGCATGGAGCGACCAGGAGCTTTACTACTTCCCCCCCCCCCCCAACCTAGCTAGTTAGGATGCAAGTTCGTCACAAGCTTACTTCTAACCATTTCATCAGGCCACCCTGATAATTCTCCAACACTGCATTACGAGAGTAAATTGTTTTGCCCAACAACACAAAACATTGACTAGGCCAGGTTTCAAACCCAGATCTCTCGATTTGTCGTCCAGCGCACGGACCGTTAGGCTATTTTGTCTTCCATATTTGGACACGTTAATATAAGCAAGTTTCAAAAGTCGTGTTCCTTTTATTTTAACACTTTCAGAAACAAGCGTACAGTGATGCTTACCCTTTTTGCATTCAAAGCCATCACCTTTGAACCCTACTCTGCATTTGCAAGCTCCCTGAACACATATGGCGTGTATATCACATTGTTCACAGTCATCCACTATTAAGACAAAGGTGAATGGATAGAAAGCTAGGTAGGATGTAAGTTGTGTAAAAAAATATCTCTGTTGCTGTTTTCTCGACGATAAAAATGTCATCTACATGCAGTCAACATTGGGTTAAAATGGTTCATTGTTCAAAGATGCAAGGCAAATGATCAGGGGAGGGAGAGAGCTCTGTTCAGCCTTAATAGCCAATATCAGCCTCTTCTCATCTTTGGTTCTTTTAACTATTTTATTTGTTTCAGTTTCGAATAACTTATTCGTAGAAGAGAAAGCTAACGGGTTAAAAAGGAGAGGATATTAGTTCCCATAAATCACAGCACCCCTTCGAAATATGATCTGGAGCATTTTTTTTAAAGGCTCTATGCGATATTACCGCACCATGCTCTGTCAAGATAAGTGATAACATTCATACACTACATAATCCAGTAGAACATGATTTCAAATGTCCACTGCTTGAATTTAAAATGTCATAAAAGTATTCCCGAATTGCTTGCATACCTTCACAATTAACCCCTCTATAGGAGCCGATGCATTTACAAGTGTATCCACTTTTGCGGTCAGTGCATTTTCCTCCATGCAAGCAGGGATTGGGATGGCAATATGACTTTGCTGAGGAGAGGATTTACTATTGCAAGTCAGTCAAACATACAATGGAACTTACAAATATTTTTACACATGTTGAAATTATGAGGTCTGAAAAGACATATACCGGTAATATAGATATGTATACTCAAGGATACATATAAACTTGACTTTTAAACATGACGATAAATGAAGGGCTACCAGACTCGTAAAAAGTAAGTATGGTCTTTAAATATAGCGACATACACTTTTGAATTTCATTTTATATACTTCGCCCCTCTGAGACTGCAGCTAATGAAGAGACTATACCATCTATAGTGAGAGGGTGTTAAGAAAACGCACATAAACAAACCTGCCACCTCACACGTTGGCCCTTCAAATCCCGTGGAACACAAACATTGAAATTTGTTCCCTTTTGGAACACAGCTCCCTCCGTTTTTACAAGGCTCGCCTGCGCAGGGGTCCGGTATTTTGTGCGAAGGCGGAGCTGCTCCTGTAAACAAAACACTGGTCTTGAAGAAAATGATAAGTTTAGACGATCATGTGGGTTAATTTTAAGGCGTTCCCAGCTAACCTGCAGATAGACCAACTTTAGAATGTCCTCATAGAAAACCAGCAATTCCTAATGTTCACTTTTGAATAAAATTGTGATAGTCTGATTACGCCTTTTATCCAGTGTAGGGATTGTGGGTTAGATATGTATAAATGAAAGTAACAGTAACATAAAAGAGCAAAAAAATGAAAGCAAAGAAGGGAATGATGATGCAGTAGAAATTTCGATGCTTTAAGAAAATTAAAATGGAGGAGCTTCATGATAGTTTTCTTTTGTTATTTGCAGATTATATCCTTCGTCGTGTAAGGCTTTTTTTAAATCGCAGGACTCTATTATCCTTTGAGCTGTCATTCTTTTTCCGAAATATGTGCTTCATGAATAAACATTCGCTTTGCTGAAGTTTCTTTCTCACCGGAGGATAGCTCACAGTTTTCTCCATCGTAGTCAGACGTGCAGACACATCTGTGACCGTTTGCCTCTTCGAAACAAGATCCACCATGTTGGCAGGGATTTGGAACACAGAATCTTGGATTTGAAGCTAAAACGAAACCAAAATGCGTCAAAAAAAGAACTGAAAACTTTTATGCTTCGATGCTGTGGTTAGATCTAGTTTTTTCAGTTCGAAAATATCAATTATTAAGTTAACAATTCCCTCTCTTTCTCTGGGTTTTCTAAATGTGGGCTCTTTTTGAAAGAATGATCCCGCTATTGGCAAATACGGGTCTTCAAACATAACAGATCTTTATAACTTTTCTCTGTACTCGTTTAATAACTGAACCTCTGTACTCAAATATTTACTTGGAAACATTTGCTACAATGTCAGGTGATGTATACGCAATGTATCGTACATTTTATATTTGCTATGATAAATTACTCGAGAAAGCACCAGGAATCAACACTTCCACATACCTCCGACACGGAAGCATTCTCCCAGAGTCCCTGCCCCGTAATAACTCCCATCACAAACACACTTCCCATTTTCACAATGGGCATGGACATCGCATCTTGCACATTTATCCTCTGAAACATAAAAGCTATGGCTCGGTTACAAGGTAGCGATTGACCCTGATGGAAAGTCATGATTAATTATCGATCAGGCTCTACTTGATCAAAGGATGGATAACACTATCCACTGGCTAAATCTGTGTCAGGCAGACAGCGCAAGAAGTTTTGTTAAAAACTTATCAGTTGGACAGTAATTTATATCTTGGATCGCGCTATCTACCCTTCAAACAATGCAACCGTGGCCAGAAGTAAGCTGTAATACAAGGGACAAATTTTCTAACATGAACGTAATTAAAAGCAACGTTTGTTCAATTCTATACGCATGAGAAAAAATGGCTAGACAAAACTTTTAAATCAATTTTTGATTACTTTGAAATGCTCTAGGTTTCTTCAAGGCTACAACTTAGGTACCAATACCCCTCCAGGATTTTTCGCCAAGCAAAAGTCATAATAACTTTCTTATCAATTAAGTGATTCAGTTGTTCAAATGTGACCATAAAACATGCATTACTGAAGACAAAACTGAGAATGAAGTGTCGTAGATAAATGATAATGTAAATAGAAACTGAGATGGAACCATACTCGAGAAAATGAGAGGATTCTTGCCATAACATGCACATACCTGCACAAGTGAAGCCTTCAAACCGTTCGGTACACTGACAAACATAGGACTTGGCCTTCAAGTGGCAGGTACCCCCATTTTTACAAGGATTTGGCTCGCAGGCACTGGCTTCTAAGGTTAGTGAGAAACAAATTATTTGATTAGTTTTATCCCTTACAATAAACTTTAATTACAAGTAACACAGGCTAAAACCTTTTTGGAACACCAAAANNNGAGCAATCAAAAAACAGGCTTGTAAAGATGAGAGCGAAGTCTTTGTATTTTTCTAACTCAATATATATTGCGCTCCACTTTTATGTATCAAGCACTGTAACACAGAATAATTGAAATGCAGACTTAATTCCTATATTTAAATATATATATATGTATATATATATATATATATATATATATATATATATATATAAAGGAAAAAATTGGAATGAACTGACTAGTACAAATTAGCCAATCAGTTACCTTTTAACTAGTTGAGTTGGATAATCATACCCAAGAAGTAAAAACTGTCCAATCATCAAGCTGTAATGTGGAAGCTAACCAAAAAAAAAAACTTGTGAAGTGCACAGTTTAACTCCATGAGTTTGAAATGTAACTGAGGCAGTCTGAATTTCTACTTTAGAAGTTCGCAGACAGCCAACGAGTACTAGGTACCTTTCGCAGTCAGCAACGCGGAAGAAGATGCCGATTTAATATGAATTTATATTTTTAACTAGAATTTTGCGAATGGCTGTACGTGGTCACGGTTTCTCGCAGTGCCACACTTCCACTTAAGCATAATGTGTGTGAGCCGCGTTAGGTTCCAAATGGAAACTTAGATAATGTGTCGTTGAGGTTTCTACGGTGCCCAGTAAGGGACACGAGATGAAAAACACTTTTTGTAATAAAAAGCACTTTTTGTAACAAGCAGTGCTACTTATTTATCTAGCACTGCTACTTATTTATCTGGCACTGCTACTTAATAAGTAGCAGTGTAAGTAGCAGTGCCAGATAAATAAGTAGCAGTGCTAGATAAATAAGTAGCAGTGCCAGATAAATAGGTGGCAGGGCCAGATAAATAAGTACCACTGCTTGTTACAAAAAGAGTTTTTCATTACAAAAAGTGTTTTTCATTACAAAAAGTGTTTTTCATCTAATATCCCTTACTGGGCACCGTAGGTTTTCGTTCGTAGACCACGCAAAAAGCGATCTCACCTTCACAGTTCTCGCCATTGTACCCCTCTCTGCACCTGCATATATAGCCGCCTGAAACTCCCCCCTCAATGCATGTCCCACCATTCTCACAGGGATTTCCTAGGCAAGGGCTGACGTCTTGAAAGAATAGAATTAGCTCAATGTTGATAGTTTAAAGTAAATCTCAAATGTTCAGGCTCTATTGCTGTGCATGTTTCATGTAAATATAAACATCAATTTAATTGACATTATTTTATGTGCCTTGTGTAAGTTACGCCGCCCAGGATATTCTGTGTTTCACGGTTCTGTTTAAACCCCGAGTGTTTTTGTATTTATTTTTCCCGTCTTATTTGTTAGTATATTTCCTAAAGGCCTTTTCTCGGCTTGTCAGGAACTTAGTTCTTCTTCTTCTGCGTACAAAAGAATCAATAGTAAATTAAATGCTGAGTAAAAGCGTTTTTAAATGAAGCAGGCCCTTGCCTCTTCAATTTATTCGTTTCACTTTCTTTCATCCCCTTTCCGCGCCAGCCTTTACCCGTTTTCTTCGGATTGAGGGTGATTTTGTAAGTTGTAACAAATCAAATCACTCAATATGCATGTGTAATGATCAACGACCAATCATATTCATCTAAAAAAAGCCTCACGTTTACATAGTGGCCCCTTGTAATGCTCAGTGCAATCACATGTAAATCCTTTTACTGTTTCGCGACAAGAGCCACCATTATAACAAGGATTAGGATGACAAACATTACTCAGGGGCGAGCCTGTAAGGAAAAAAGAAGGCAAAAACTGAAAAACCTATCTCTATCTCGCAAACTGCACTGTGGCCGTAGGTAGTCTAGTATGGTCACTAAAAAAATCAATAGTAGCAAACATCAATAACAAAATAAAATTAAAAATAAATAACATAGTCGCAATCCGCTGCATAGGGTATATAATATTTAGAAGAATAGAATTGCCACTAACTGTCCCGTGGACTCTAAGGAAACGATCGTATTGGTAGATAAGTATGGCATAATTTTAACTCGAGTTCCAGTGCGAATCTTTTTATTTTAAAGCGATTTTGAATTCTTGAGTATTGCACTTGGCCCCAACTTGAAAGTGAGAGGCTTGGAGCTCGGCACTAGCCTATTGATTAGATTTTCCATTTTTTGTCCCGTGGTATGGCATTTCACAAGCTATGAGGTTTATGATTAGCCCCAAAACTCACTCAATCACTCACTCACTCATTCACATACTCACTCACTCACTCACTCACTCACTCACTCACTCACTCACTCACTCGCATACTCACTCACTCACTTACTCTCTCACCCACCCACTCCATTCTGATCTGTAAGACAAAGAGTTCATGCTTTAACCGTGAATGAACTGCGTTATTTAGCAATAGTGATTGTCATTATGAAGAAGTTAACCGTATCTCCCCTTATGTATTGCCATAAAAAACGTTGGTTGACAAATGGGGTGATTGTTATTTTCGGATCGTGTGGATGATCGTAGTATGAAAAGAACTGTTTTCGGTAGCACTGACTGCCATTTTACAACCTGAGCGAAGAATAACAACAGAGTCAGGTAGTTCCTCTTAGGTTTTCGAAGCGAAAGTCAGTAGTTCCCACTAACAACAGTCTTTTACAGGACTGCTTTCACCTGAATCATCACACCACAGGAGCGACTAGTTCTACTCGGTTCAAACCATTTAGTGTACTATTCAATCATATTTACCTGTATTCACGTAAATACCAGAAGGTAGCGCGGTGGGTGTGTGACCACTGATCTCCGTCACTTTTAACACTGCAAAACACAGCTTTCTGTTGCAATGCTGCGCGCTTACCATAAAATCATTTTATAGAAATGCATGAAAGCGATCTTCGCAGTAATGAGCACTGCTTATGTAGTAGGGAAAATAAGGCCTGACAAAAAAAAAAAAAATTCAGGCCCGCACGGGATTTGAGCCCATGACCTCTGGGATACCGGTGCAGTGCTCTACCAACTAACAGGTAACAAGCCAGCTGGGGGCTGGCCATTATGTTTTTCCGTACGTTCGTACGGGTCTGGATTTTTTTGAAGTCCTTACTTTCACTACAACATAAGTAGTATTCATCACTGCGAGGATCGGGTTCATTCATTTCTTAAAACTGCAGTGCACATATATGATTTTCATATATTCAAATTCACTGATTTATTTTAAAGAAGTTCTTTATTAGATCATCTCGAGAGTGGTTATTCCCCTGTCTCTCTTTAATTTAAGCAAGCGAACACATTTTCCGGGCTCTATTTTGCGATAAAGCCACGCGGGATGTTTGGAGGACACGTGGAAAGCCTGTAAAATCACAAGCCGAAGGCAAATGATTTATATGTCTTCCAAGTTTCTCCCAACAGCCAAAGTGGCTTTATCGCGTTATAGAGCCCAGAAAAAATGCGTTCTATTGCTTTTATGACTTAACTATTTGCATGCGGGCTCTTAAACCTGATAATTAAAGCATCCGCTTGGAAACTGAATTGACCAATCAGACGGTGCGTACTACGTCCATTATGTTGTACGTTATGTTAACGGAGTTTGTTTGCTGGTCTCTTTGCCGACTTCTTTGCTATCTTCTTCCTTGAACTTACTTCTTGTTTTTCTAATTTTTTTTTTTTTTTTGTTCTCAACTCTCTTTGCTCTCTTGCTTCCCCTTTATCGAATTTCGGGTTACGTGTTTGGATACACCCAAAGATTGACAAACTGTATAAACCGTCCACCCTATTCCCTGCCATTTTATCACACAGCTACACTATTTCATATTTCCATGGAAAACTATTTACCCATCGGAGCCGGGTTGTTCAAAGCTGGGTAAAGATAAGCCAGGGTTAGTGTAAAATGTGATTTCAGATTTGACATCTTTAAAGAAACTACAGTTTAATTCCATTTGATAATGTCTACAATTTGATGATTGAATGCTCTAAAGAGAATCGGGAAAATTATCCCAAAATGGCTTTTGAACACAGAAGTAAGGAAACCTTGATTAAAATTTAATCCTGGTTTAGCCCTAATCGGCCTTCGAAACAACTGGGTCCAGGTGAGGAACTTTAAATTATAGCGTAGTAGAGAGCCGGCGATAACATTAAACCCCATCGAGTCTTGAGTATCATTTAGATCATTGTCCTTTTCGGAGATTCCCTTACAATCTCGAATTAGCAATTATATGCCGCTACTTATGTTCCTTTGGACAACTATTGCGGTGTTTTGATGCTCCCACCAAAACATTCGAGCGACGCGCGAGCTAAAGGAGGTATTACTCCCTTCAGACTAGATACTCTGCCTTGAATTAGAAGATCTTTAAAGTGCTGCTGCCTATGTAAAAGTATCCATACTGGAGGGGGGATACATTATCTAAACTTAATCCTTTTGCACTACTTTCAAACTTCAGACAACAAATTTTATAAATACCTTCACATACATTGCCGTTTCCGTCGTATCCCTCCTCGCAAACACATTTCCCATCGAGACATCTGGCGTGCGCATGACAGTCGGTGCACAACATAGGAACGGCCGTCATTTTGACTGAGCCTAAAGGATTGAAATAAAGAGACAAAATTTAATTAGATATTAAATATGCCAATGAAACAATAATTAGCAAACATTAGCATACAATCGCCTGAGCTATTGTTGTGTCATGTTTGAGAATAAAAAAAGAGAGAGAGAGAGAGAGAGAGAAAGAGAGAGAGAGAGAGTGAGAGAGAGAGAGAGAAATAGAAAAAAAGAATTGCATCATTCATGAAGGGAAATTTTATATATTATGTAGCCGGAACAAACCTTCACATGTGTCTCCTGTAAATCCACTTCTACAAATGCATTTATATGTGTTTTCCATAGGAACACATTTTCCTCCATTCACACAAGGATTACTGAAGCAGGAACTTTGTAATTCTGTAGGAACTATGATTGAAATTTGGCATGAGTTTCGACTTGGTTAGCAGCAAAGAGATATATGACTTAGTGCTCAATACTGTTGGGGTGCGTCCGTTGATCCATCGAAAGCTGGAATCTTTCTGTTTCGTACTGAAACAGTCAGGACGGTAACACCGAGAAAAATGTCAGTTAAAATTGAATTTGAGACTTTCCTGATAATTTTGCTAATAGCCAAAAGCATTCGAGGTCTCTAACACCGCCATATTTCGGCTTTACTGCATAACATATGTGGGCAAAATTGAGTTCTAAATACTCCCGGAGGAGTTCCCGCTCACAGAGTGCGCAGTGATTTCAGAGAACGACCAGGAAATTAACATATTCAGTCCTAAAACGCACGTTTCCAGCTATTTTCTTGCGTGTTTAATCCTTTATTTCGCCATGTTGTTGCCATCGCTGTCGTGGTTTGCTCAAGTCAACTGAGGATTTTAGTAACAAAGGATCGTTTCATCAGCTCCGAGATCGCGAAATCATTAAAGACCATGGCAAAAAATAAATGAATAAGCAAATGAATTAACCACCATTAGATCGTTTGTGAAGTGGTTCGCGATTCCATAGTACAATGATGCATAAAAACTATTCTTCTACAATCTATTACGTGATGCGCTCACTATACTCATATCGTAAGTGACTCCTTCATAGAATACCTTCGCAGTGCTTTCCCTGATACATGCTGGAGCAAATACAGTGATAGCCTTCTTCCTCATCCTCTTCACATGTTCCTTCATTCTGACATGGTTGAGATTCACATTTGGAAACTTTTTCTGTGACAAAAAAATGCAATCTAGTTTGTAGTTTACCTCAAACACTATTAATGTAGAGAGTAAAGTTACTCTATTGACAACTCCTACCATTACTGCTGCAATGATGAATTAGTTGGCCTGCCACCTTGTCCATAGCAGCGTACATATATCTATCTTTGTCTTATTTTTTTCTTTTGATGAAATTAAGCATTCAACATGGACTATTTGCGTGAAAGTTACCAATGCTAAGCGGAATTTCAGGCCATCCAAGCCGGCTGAGTGAATAAAATGTTCGAAGGAATAAACGGTAAAATGTTTTCTACTTAAAATACCTAAAAAATAGACAGTTTGCAGTGACGCCTCCAGATTTCCAAATGACCGTCAGTTTTCAAGAAAAACAAAAGATAACTCTTTCTGTAAAATAATGAAAATTTGAAACAGATCGAATCTTCCTCGTCTTACCATCACACGTGATTCCTCTGAACAGCGCAGGACATAAACACATGAACTGCCCAGCACCTGTGTTGTGGCAAGTTCCAGAATTTTGACATGGATTCGAGTAGCACATGTCCAAATCTGAAAACAATCAAAGAAACAAACAACAACAAAAAAGATTAATGGTCGGCACACACTACCATCAGTTTGTCAAACGTTTTTACATTGAAATAAAACAGAACAGCAGACTTGTATTCACAAAAAAGCTAGATGAACGAAGTATTCTATGTAGCCAGCAGTCAAATGAGAAGTAATTCCAGTAGCACTTAAGCGAGTCTGAGAAAACTGCTGACTAAGCACTTTCAAGAGTTTTGTGAGATTAATTGAAAGATAAAGCGTACATTAAAAATGGACAAGCCGTCGTTATCGGTTGAAAATTAATTTTGAAAAGTAACACAATTACAAATAATTAAAGCGTGGAAACCCAAAGAAAGACCCTGTACCTTTTAATCTTTCAATTAATCTAGACCTCTGGTGCGTGTGTAGTTCCTAGCCCCAGTTATCTCCACGTTTGAACTAAATTACTGTTTTAACTCTGTATATATCCTCCTATTGGACATGGTTATACGAACTTGGGTAGACTTTTACTGACAAGAATACCATGCCTACTACGCGGAGAGTGAACCCCGTTGATAGTCAATCCTAGACATTTCTCCTTAGACCAGATGAATGCAAGCTACCAGGTGTCACCTACCTCCACAATCTGAGCCATGAAAGCCTGGCAAGCAGTGACACTCAAACCTCTTTTCTCCATTTAAGCACGTTCCGCCATTTTTACAAGGGTTTCCAATGGCACAATGGTCTGCAGCTGCGAAATTCATAACGAATCATCTCGTAACTATCTTGATTTAGGCAATTGTTCCAGAAAATTTACACAAAGTCTTTTAATTTCGTTTGGACAAAGAGATCTCTCGAGGCCATCTTAGGCCTGTTGAGAATGATAAATGGTTAACGATGACTCATAAGTGAGGTGATAAAAAATCTGCTAACATGGGACAAATTTCTGTTTACTTGCCGGTCACTGAATATCTTAAGATCAGATTTCACCTTATTCTTTGAAAATTGCCCCGTGACGCCGCTATCGATGGCTTATATCATGAACGTAGTTTACCTTCACAATTGCTGCCTTCAAATCCAGGGAGGCAAAGACACTTGTAGGAACCCCCGTTCTCCTCACACGTGCCACCATTCTTACATGGACTGGGAATGCACTTACTACTGACTGTGGAGATGAGGAGAAAATGTACTCCGTCTGTTATCGTAAGTGAAGTGTCCCAACCCATCCGCTCCCTCCAAAAAAAATCTACTTCAGTGGTGCCAATTATGTGCCCGGTAACAGACATGGCTGTTTGTAATGAAACACGCAATAATAAGGACACGGAAGAAGTGGCAAACCGACGCTTCCATCGACTGCATGGCGCATTCAGCGTATATGAAATCAATATTATGCCCTTCAACAACTTTCTTTCCTCATCGGTGCATGTGCAACTTCACCAACTTTTTGATATGGTTTATAAGTTTTTTGTACTGTTACTCACTATCACAGTTCGGTCCTTTGAATCCTTTGACACATGTGCAGTGGTAGCCGCTTGTCGTTGCATAACAGTTTCCTCCATTTTTACACGGATTTGGGAGGCAGTGGTTCACCTCTAAATGAAGCATTTGTAATGTTGATTAATGCGCGTGGTAAGCTTATAATATTCTGAGGTGTGGTCACTGTCGGTAACTTCAGGCGAGCCGCAATCAACTCGACTGACACTTTGTCAGTTATTTACTGTTGAATCGACTACCGTGAAGACAACAAATGCAAAAGACTTCCATAATAGCGTGAGGTGCTAATATTTCTGATGATAGTAATTCGATTTTATACTTTCATAGGACAGTTAACAAATAATTTTACTACTTTGATCTCTTTTAGTGATTCGCGCCTTTAAATAGATTTACTCAACCACAGCAAAGTTTCAATTTCTCCGAGTGTTTATTTGTATCAAAGAAACAAACAGTTTAATCCATATCTAATATAAATCTATTAGCGCTTTTACAATCTGATTAGTTACGCTTATTGCCGCCTACTCCTTGATCCGTGATAGACAGTGAGTAAAGTGAGTATGTTGCAAATGGAAGAAAAAGAAAAGAAAAACACGAGCCTGTCTTGATGCTGTTTTGACTACAAGTAGGTTTAAACCAAAAACACTTACCTTTTTCATTATCGCTTTCTGTAGGTGAAGAATGAGCTCAGAATATAATTGTTAAGCAGACCTATTCAAGCAATGAGTAGTAAGCGCCGTTATTGTAAGAGTTTGCACTTGCCTTCACAATCCTTTCCCATGAATCCCATCGGGCACGCGCACTCATAATGCTTTTCAAAAGCTGTACATACACCATCGTTCCTGCACGGATTAGGACTACACTTCGCTTTTGAAACACCTGGAATATATTGTAGAAGATTCTCATGTAACTTATCGCTGTATAGAAACACTTACTGACGAAATCAGCATTCATCGACAATGTTTACGCTACTATTCAAGATACGTTTTGAAGGATAAATATCAAGTCATACAGAACATTCTATAACAAAGCAGGTAATTTTCTAAAGGAAATTTTTTGCTTCGTCGGTGTGGGGTATCATAGATAGTTTGGTTTCATCAATTAAGCTGATAATTTAAGTTGCTCATCGTAAAGAGTACTAAAGCTAACGTTTTGAGCGGTTATCCCTTCGTCAGAGAAAAAGATGAAAGGCTAATGCTCTAAACGTCAACACTTTGTTTTTAATCTGCAGTAGGCCAATTTACAATTATTCTCAGGATAAATGAGCCTATGACGGGAATCACTACATTCATGCACTTAAGGGGTAAAAAAGATTGGCATGTACAAACGATTGCCCACTTGTGAATTTTGATCTCTCAGCCATTTCTCTGTAGCTTGTTTCCTTTTAAAGCCTACCTTTATGGACGTGACGATTCACCTGTTGACGAATTTCTCCAGCCATCTGAAAGGGAAATTGCGGTTCAAAGAAACCTGGTGGTGGCTCAAAGTTCTGTGGAAGATTCGCAGGTATATCAGGCGGTCCGAAATTAGCAGGAAACTCGTCTGGTGGTGGAACGATAGTGGTGGGGAAAGGAGGTACTGGACCACTCTCATGCATGGGAACTATGTCAGGAACTGGTGCAAAGTCGGGGGAATGTAGGAACGCGTGGTCTGGGGTTTCCTCTTGTAGGTGCACAGGTTCCATCTCGTGTAAATGGGAAACAGGCTGTGGTGGAAATGGTAACGGTGGAGGACCAATTCCCAAAGGACCTGGTGCGAGAGAAGCAGGAGGAGGTCCTTCTTCAAGATGGATGGCATCAGGGGGATGTATCGGAGGAGACACATCCGAAAACTCCGGGTTAAAAGGGGGAAGTCGCTGTATAAAAGGCCCTGTTGGCTCTGGAAGGGGCGGTCTACTGTTCAAAGCATCCAACAGTTGTTTTCGTTGAAGCTGAACTGGTAGAAATAATCTTTTAACAGCTCCTCTTTGCTTTTGAAGATTCCCGTTCAACTTCCGAAGGTTTTCCAACACTGTTTTGAAAGGTGTTGGACCCCATATGTGAATAGCCTTCAGAGGTTTTGCCTTTTTGAGTCGGTTTTTTATCACAGCAGAAGTTGCAACCACGCGCAATGGCTTCGCTGGTTGCGGTAATAACGATGCATGGGAAGCTTTCACAGTCGACGCGTTATCATTGTTTCCACGTTTGAATCGTTCCGACTCTTGCGCGTAAGCTTCCACAATATTTTCTTTTTCATATTTCAGCACTTTGTCGGTTAAAAGCTGGCTTTTTCGATAGGGATAAGTTAAATCCTTTCTACGCTTTGGATGAAAGCCTATCACGGAACGAGATGACTTTCCCACAGATCTCTTTCGAAGACGTTTACAAATTGAGTAGTTAGATGAAAGGAAGACAAACCATAGAATCGCAATATATAGAACTTGTTTCATTGCGAAGTTCTGACGCACTTTCTAAATAATTCCAAAAATCCCGCCATTTGTTTTTGTTTAAATTGCCTCTAACCGCTAAAATTCAAGCATCACTGTTAAAATTTCGATCCATTTTCACGGTCGAAGTGATTTCATCGATATGATGATATCACACAAGTATTACCAACAAAGTACTACCATATAACAACCCGCCACAAGTCAAGTGTCAAAGATGGGCGGTTTTCAGTGATGTCTGAATTCTAAATAATCCAGTGACCTGTGGATGAAGTCTAGAATCCATCCATCCTCCCCCTTTCTTTGGTTCATTAAACAATTCAGCAATAAATTAATCCTTGAGATTATTGGTATCTAGCAAGACAAATCAACCAGTATTTTTACTCAGATTTTCTCCATGAAACATGATTTAAACCTCTGCCAAAGGACATGATCTCAAAAAAAGAAAGAAAGAAAGAAATTTGTAAAGATTGGAGTCTAGTGGTTTAGTAAAAAAATATATTTTGTTTCATTTTGGACAGATTTTCATTGCATGTTTAAATATTAGATATTTGATAGCTTATTAAAATCTCATTTACTTTTAATCTCTAAAATCCTTTCTTTATTCAGATCTTCCTTAGAATGAACCATTTTCCAGCGCTCATTAGTATTCTGTTAATTCGTGTAAACACTGATTCGATACAAATAACGCGAACATCTAATTGATTTGTTACATCTGTTTCTCTTCAAATATATTTCTGTCTATTGTTTTCTACTTTTTACTTTCGCGACAGTCAGTTGGCGAACAATTTTGTTTACAAGCGTTTGAGTACTCTTTTCTTCTTTCTAAGAAGCAATGACACCAATAGAGTGTTTTTTTTTTTTTAAAGCGGGCGTCCCTCACTCTGAATATGTCATCTTCATGTTAAATCATGTGGAAATTACAACCAACAGTCAGTGAAAATGATTTGTTTACCAGCCGGCCAAGCAGAGGGTTGCAAGAGTTACTTTCACAAAGTAAAAATTACTTTATTAACAATGTCAATCACGTATTTGAGATTTGACGACTTACTACGTTGCAGATAATTTCCAATTTACAAAATGGCAAGTCTTTCTCTAAAGCTGTCCGGAAGGCGTTTTTCACACGCGATACCGTCAAACCCTTGCTGACACACACATGCAAATCCATATTTACTATTCGTGTATGGTCCATCTACGCATGTACCTCCATTTAAGCAGATGCCAAGAGAGCATGGTCTTGTGACTGCATAAAAGAAACAGATGGAGTACAGTACATGCAGAAAACTTGTGGCACATTGAAACATATATATATATATATATATATATATATATATATATATATATATATATATATATATATATATATATCTTATTAGAAATTTTTGTTGTGCACTGAATATTTTTACGAGTTGTGCCATATTTTGATGAGCCCGTAAGGCGAGTCAAAATACAAACAACGTGTAAAAGTACTCAGCGATACTACACAACAAAACTTCTTTTAAGAGAAATTATTATCCAAGACACCAAATTTTTACTTCAGTGCGGGCGAATTTCGCGGATATTTCTGGAGTACAAATTTGTACTCGTCGCACGCGTTATTTGTACTCTACGAAGCACAGTAGAAAAAGTAAGTAACATCGCATTCAGCACTCACAAAAGAAAAATAAATATGTAACCCTCAATTGATTACCTTTATCTTTTCATACGGTTTAAGTATTCAATGCCTTTCCCTTATGTTTGCCCCTTGGAAACTACTGAATTTTATGAAGAAATGATGAATTAGTTAACAATCGTAGCTAAATGCAGAAATGTTTTGAAAATTATTCTTCTTCTGTCATCGAGGGTCCATTTAACGCTGAACAACTGAACATACCTGTATTCCACAGATAATGAAGTAAAACTGCAAATTCTTCATACCTTTACACCTCTTTCCAGAGAAGCCTTGTTTGCACTGGCAGGAGTATTGATTACCAAATCTTAGACAAACACCATCATTATGACAAGGACTAGGGTGGCATGCAGAGGCTATACAAAGATACGGTATCGGTGTTATGGTTAGCGAAAAGTTTAAGTGAGATGATTAAATTTATTAGCTATTAAAATGAAAAAACAAAACAAAACCAAACATTTCAAACAAAAAACCTTATTTATAGAAAAATTTAAGCAGTTTAAACTATATTTTCCAGTAGACTCATGTCCCATTAACAGTTTTCAAGCAAATGCTATACCATTGAGTTATGCCATTTAATTACACATTCATTAAGTGATTTATCTATCTTTTAATCCATTGTTATTTCTTTTTAAGCACAGAAGGGAAGATAGCTTCAGACAGTATTATCGCAATAGTTAGTCTAGATTACCCTGTGGACTAACATCATTGGATTTAGGTCGATTTGATTTCCTAGCCAACTACATCATAAAAAGAGCATGCGTTTGTAGCAACATGATCCAGCTTAGATCATTTATTTCGCCGGAACAATCTTTCTTTACATTTTGGGGTTCGAAAAGATTAAAGTGCTTATTCCGTGCTCGAGCCTTTAACAGTGAATTTCATGTATATAATTACTTCATGAGTTTATCCCGTGTCCTCCTTCCTTTATAGTAAACTGAAAAACGTTCATCGACTTTCGAGTGAAGAGAGGACCGAAAAGAGTTTATTCGAGATTTAGATGCTTTTTCTGTTTGTTTTCTCGTTTACTTTAGGAGATAATTTTTACCACCAAATGATATGCTTTAAGGAAACGATTTCAGCTGATAGTTACCTTCACATCGCTTTCCATAAAATCCAAAGCGACACTCACACCTGTAGCCCGAGCTCTCATCCCTGCATGTTCCTCCATTCAGACAATAAACAGAGTTACACTCGCTGATTACTAAAAGGAATGAAAAATAGCCAGAAAATGTAGTCAAAGGTAGACTGCTATAAAGTTTTCTACAAAACTGTACCATTAGGTGTCAAGACAAAATCGAGTTTTGAGCTCTATGAGTCTAGCAGCAGCTGATAAGTTGTATATAAGTTTTCCCGATATCAGTTTTATTTTTTAGCTTGTAATTTTAGCCAGATATCATTGCTGATAGGGGAGTTGTGAGTTTAAGCCACCCAATTTATTAGCGGGAGTTATATATGTAAGGCAAAACGCCTGAAGGGTTTTAACCGAGTTTTGGTTTGGGTGGATAATTTGGCTTGTTACACTAATTTCAATTCAGAAGGTTGACTTTACCCAGCTTTCAGATAATTATCCTGTTCTCTCGGCAAAACAGCTGCCACTGTCCGAATATTCATCTCCACATGAGCAACAATTCGCAGATGTATATATCTGTGGTTTCAGTTTTTTTTCTATAGAACCAGTCTTCTCTCTAAAATGTTTTTCAATGAATCCTTTAGCGATAACTATCGTATGTACAAGATTGTTATCAGGCTTTAATACCACTGACCTTCACAGGTCTTTCCTTTAAATCCTTGAGGGCAATTGCAGATATAACTATTACCCATTTCAAAGCATACACCATCATTCTTGCACGGATTTGGCAGGCACTTGTTGTCAACTAAAGGAAAATTGAGCTTAAACATCATCCACAGACCCAAATTCCATAACGTTAAAAAGTAAAAATTACTTCAAGGAGGGCACATCAGCTTCTGCTGACTTTTGGTTTCTGTTGAAATCACTTACATGTACTAACAAGCGTGCTCCATCGCTCTGAACATGTGTCTTCCTAACTCAGTTGGTAGTAGCGCCCAACTAGAATCTTGGAGGTATAGGTTCGAATCCCGTCGGAGCGTTAATTTTTTCTGACCTCTTCACTGCAATTGCTTAAATTGCAGTCCACCTTTACTTGCTTAAAACACTGCTGTATCAAAACTATTCCTTTTTTTATTGTTACGACCTGTGTACGTCGAAGGTAGTAATATACTATACTGTCGACAAAACGTTAAATGCAGTAATTTACAAAATGATGATACTCACTTTCACAATTTTTCCCTTTAAATCCTTCTGGACATACACACGTATATGAATCTTCGGACTCGCTACATGTGCCGTCATTACGACAAGGGCTTGGATGGCAAAAGCTTCGTGCTACAGGGTTAAAAGTAATGACAAATAAAACGGTCTTTTAAGTGAAATATATCAAATAACTGCACACACGCCGCGTGCTAAGGCAGCTAACCAAGAGACAAAAGAAATTATATATACAGAGACGATCTACAAGGATGCTTTCTTGCTTGGACGGTCAGCAACTTACCTTCACAATTTTCTCCAAGAAACCCCACAGGGCACGTACATAGATGTCTTCCAACGGCTATTTCGGTACATGTTCCTCCATTTTTACATGTTGAAGGTCTGCACTCTTTTTTAACTGTGCGTTCAATAGCATTTCAATTTCAATACACCATTTTCCAAGCACCAAATTAAAACAACTGTTTTAGGCCTTTGGTTTCATTTAAGATCCCAATTGACACGTTGAAGTTGTAAAAGGGAGTGTTTTTCTTCAAGGTTTTGGCTTTTCTTATGTATCTTTATAACAGTGATTTTGTCATCAACTCGTCAATTTCAAACCCCAGGACCCATATTTCAGATTTTTTCATATGCCTCCACCTCTCCTAGCAGAAGAAGCAGAACTTTCATGTACTCCCGCACCAAATACAGCACACTAGGTTGATGATCTCGTCTTCAAGGGATTAGGTTTTCAAGTCGCTCTCTGCGACTTGAGAAAAACAATGCAGCAAACTCCAAGTATAGCAGTATTAAAGAAATATGCCATTCAAATGCATATCATAACGCATTGCGAAATGATAATTTGACAAGGTGCAAAGAAGCATAGCGTTTGTAACAAATTTTCTAGTCTAAGCCAATGAAATGGTGTGGTCTTGATTCTAATTATGATATTGGGGGATCAGCAAAAATCTCCTTCAAAAATTGTTAACTGTTCAATGCAGCCTGACCGAAGTCCCCCGAAAAGTGTCATATAGCGGCGATTTAATAAAGATATTGTACTGTTCTGTACGTTGAGAATAAAAAGATTTAACTCCTTACATACTTTTTTATTTTCGATTACCTAACCTTCGCATCTTGTTCCAATGAAACCCGGCAGACACTCGCAATAAAAACCATGGCGCCTTGGAACGCACATTCCTCCATGGTGGCAGGCATGAAAAAAACATGGTCCTGAGCAAATGTTAAAAAAAACCCTTTAACTCTGCTATCAGGACTACACAAAAAAGTGTATCGAAATCGAAAGGTTAGAGACGTAAGCTATCTAGTTACTCTTCGTTAAATTAGTGTTTGCAACAAACTACAATATGACTCGTCAAATAGATTATAAGTGGTGTTGATATAGCCTTACAAAATGGCAATCTCTTAGTCAACTTTTGACACCTTTAAGTCAGAAGCAAATCATCGACTGTTAACGATTAGTGTCCTTGCTTGTCAGAGAACGTTTTGTGGTAATATGCGGAGTAAGTCAAACTTTCAATTTTGGCAACTTTATGCAGCTCTTGCCTATATTACTAGAGGGATATTTACTATTTCTAAAATATGTTTGAGAAACCGCAACAGAGGATAAATGAAGCTGAAATAAATGCCTACAAGCCAACGGTCATTCAATGGTTACCTCTCTCTCCTCGATGAACCAGAAACATCCTTCGGTCAACGGGCCTTGACATCGGTTCGTAAGGAGGAGCCGGCGCGAAATAGAAGTCCCTCTTGTTAAAACTAACAGATTTTTGAACTTCGTTATCTTTCTTCAGTCTTTTCTTTAGAGAGTTAGATTTGTTCGTGCTACCGTACGGTGAAGTAAACGATTGATGGCGCTTTGTGCGTAGTTGTATCCTACCCGGGACTCGTGTCTGCTCACCTACAATTTCATTTCTTTGCGACAACACATAATCCACATGTGTTACTTTTTGTTTCTTTCCAATACTTCTCTTGATTGGACTTTTCTTTAAAACCATTGCAGTCTCAACAAATGTCATCGAAGAAAGTATTGTCAAAGAATCGAGAAAGGTAATCAGAATACACCGTAACAGCATGACGATGAATTTTTTTTACATGTCTTGGTGTCAGTTCTGTCGTCCAAAAGCTCTTCAGATAATCTCGTTATCTATATTCTTTCTTATCTTCCATCAGCAAAGGCGAAAAAACACAACTTGTTCCGGTTCCGAGGCGCTCTGGTCATTAAAAATTCAACAATGTTTTCGCACTTGTCAACTTCAACCTATTTTCTTTGTTTACGATCGCACCGTCAAATTAACCGTGAAAGGATAACCTGTCCTTACGAATACCTTATTTGTTTTCAAAATAATCTTTTTCAATCTCTGTTTCAATACCGAGAGCTTAGTTAATTTTTCCATATTAGAAATTTCAAGTTGACAAATGTAATTTCAATAATTAGCAACCGGTTGGCTCGCTTTTTCGTCGTTGTGTCACGGATCTCAGCATGAAAACTTTAGAAACTGTTCAAAAAAGTACATGTATTAGCTGAAATCTGTGCGGGAAAAGCTGGCTAAAAAAATAGATCTTTCTCATGAAAGTGAGCAACGAATTCGACCTTCTTGCATAGAGCTTTCTTTTTTTAATCATCAAGATTTTTTGTGGATAATAACTATTCTACTTCGAGAGTGAGATCATGGGTGACAAATTCTGTGGAAATTTTGCTGTCAATCGTGAGACTTTTCTACCGACTCTCTCAGCACTTGTCAATTAACAGATTCATGGGAAAAGACTAGGTTGTTTTTAAGACAATGAATTTAAATTGCAGTCGTAAACACACAGGGGCATGATTTGTCTTAAAACTAAAACTAAAAACGAGATAAGTTGGTGTAATTGAAACGGCTATAAGGCAAAACAATAAAATGAGACGTTGGAGAAGCAGAAAGAGTTTTTCGAGCAAAAGTTAGATCATTTTTGTCACTGCAACGTTTCTGGTTTTGTTTTGCTTGTGTTTAAGGAGAACTGAGAAGTGCTTTTTATACATCTCACGCCTTTTGATCTTCTAGCTACGGCGATTGACCACAATGAGTAATTTCTCAGCTCTAAAATTAAGTGCATGAGTTAATATTTGATGGCTGTTGAGGTAGATGAGATAATTTCACGGAGATACTTTTCGCTCTTCTTTTCTTAATCAGAACGGTTTCCGGTTAAGGCCAGTGTAATCTCCCAGCTCTACGCATCCAGTAGAAATGGTTACTTTTTAGTCCACCTCAGATGACACTCGCTTATGAATCCGTCTGCCTTTTTATGTTTTGTTCACTTTTTCATTGCTCTGGAGTTAATCGGCACAAATAGAATTACGGGGTTACACAGGAGTCATGTAAATCTACTTCCAAGCCGGGACGGACGTGTTACAAATGGACAAGGAAACATAAGGTATAACAATCGCCAAGCTAAAACAGAGGGCGGTCCTACTATCGACAGTGTGAAACGTTGGAGGATCAAACAAGACAACAGCCACCTGCAGGATAAAAATGATAGTAATTCAAAGCCATGCGAGGGAAAGTCGTGCTTATGGAGCACAAGACATCCTTTCAAAACCAAACCTAAAGATTCAGTGGTAAATCACCGTCGAAGAAGACAGTCCGTATTCTTAGCCAAAGCACTTGACATGCTGGATCATGCTAGACCGGGCGAAGGTAGTAACTTTGCTACTCGCGCAACGGCAAATAGGCCATTTAAGCCAATTACCGGCATTGATAAAAACACAAACAAATTTACCGTCAAAAATTCTACGTTGGTTAACAAGCCTACAAAGAATCAGGCGGGAGATAAAAGACAGGGATGGTCTGATCCCACTAGTGAGATGAGACCGCGTTTCTTTTTCAATAGCGCGCCTGCGGAATACGTCGAGCAGAAGCCTCCGTCTTTGAGAACTGGTCAGGGACCAGGTAATTTAGTTTTGCCTCCAGAGACTAGAGCAGGGCCACATGTACCTCCTCACTTGCACCGGATAAATACATTTTTAAAAGGAGTTAATGATGGCTTACACATGGGAAAGCATCCTGTTCGCTTCCCGCACATACCAGCTAATGTCGTCGGTAATCCCTTATCACATCGAATGACTGCTCCATCCCACTTCCATAATCATCTACGTCACCATCAATTTGGTCCACCACCGTACGCTATCCATATCAATGCGCCGCCCAGACTTGAGCCTCCTCTTCCACCTCCTAATTTAATACCTCAAAACATCCCTCCCTTCCCTCAACCACCTCCAGAAGTTTTAGGTGAGCCAATGCCTCCCTTAAATCCTCCAGTCGGCATTGAACCTCCCAATCCACCCAAAAATGATGCAGCTATGCCCGGTGATGTCAATATGCTGCCACCAGGAGGCATTCCCATGCCACCACCTCCAATCAATTTGCCAGAGAGCACACCACTTGAGGACTTTTCACCCGTTTTACCACCGCGTCCTCCTTCTGGAGTTGACCCTCTATCACCTGACTTTGAAATAATGCCGCCTGCAGTGATCCCCATTCATACAACTCACCCCATAGATGCACCTATTGGAATCCCAAGTGACCTTCACATGACACCACCGCAAGGAGTTCCTATGTCTCCCCCTGAAGCTGCTTTGCAAGGGATCCCCATGCCAGGTGAGGAGCCACCGATGCCACTTCCTCATCATGTACAGCGCGCCCCTTTTCCTGTGGCTGTTCCATCACCACCTAGAATAGAGAATGTACCTTACCCAGTTCCTGTTCCAGGTCCGCCGTCTATTCAGCCTTTAGTTGTACCCGTCCAAGTTCCATCACCTCCCAAGATTCAGCGGGTGCCTGTTCCAGTAGAATCTCCTCCTAAGATACAGAATGTACCTGTCCCTGTTCCAGTAGCCGTTCCTTCTCCTCCTCAGATAAGGCATGTGCCATATCCCGTCGCCCTTCCCGTGAAACAGCCAGGTGAAATCCAAAAAATATTTTACCCAATAGCAGTTCCTCAACCTTCTCAGATTCACCATGTTCCGTTTCCTGTTTACATTCGCTATCCCCCAGAAATAAGACGAATTCCCGTCCCTGTTGCCTTACCTCCAAAGCCCTTTCCCGTTCCAGTGCCTTCACCACCACATTATGTTATCCATCGAGTTCCTTATCCGGTCATGTTTCCGCAAAAAGTTCCTTATCCTGTTCCGCTTGTTGTTCAACATCATCACATTCACGAGGACGTCGGTAATACAAGAGGTGAGCGTGTTTCTGATACATCATTTTCATACGCAAAGGAATTTTTTTTAAAATGAAAGATCTCTCTGTCAGGTATATCTTGCATTAACTATTGATGATCCAATTCTTATGCGGATCTACTGCCATGGAATCGAATTATCTTGAGTAAGATTTTTGTTAACCACATTCAAGCTAGACGCTGAAAGACAAAGAAGAAAAGAGTAGAATTTGAGTTCGACAAAGCGACCTTATTTTTAGCTTCAAAGCCTACATGTGAAATAAACTATGATCTGTCTGCTTCGTGTCATGTTTCTAGAGTCAGTAAGTAATGGTCAGTGTCTGGTGAATCTTTGTCTGAATGGGGGAACCTGCTCAGCTTATATGAACACCTACAGATGCCATTGCCCCAATGGATTTCAAGGAAAACATTGCGAAGGTGACATAGGAGAAGCTTATTCCAAATTGGTTTGAGTAACAAGTTTGCTTTCTTGTAAATGCGAAAAAAGAAAATAATCATCGCATGCTTAAAAAACTAATTAAATTTTTTTTGTTTTAAAACTTATTATGACAGAACCAGTTATACTGAAAAAAAATGTATATTATTCTCTTGAAGTGTAATCACTGCCATAGACTGGACTACAACATCGTCTGATATTCAAGATAGCACTACCAATGTTCTTCATAATCGCCTGCTTTTTCACTGTCCTTCATCAGTGAACATGTCTTGATACCGCTTTTTTAGTTAGTTAGCTATTTTTATGAACATGATGTAAATAGAACTCGCTTAAGTTGAATATCTTTTTTCTTCAGAGCAAAACATGTGTGAGCCAAATCCTTGTAAAAACTTTGGTACTTGCTCCCAAGTTGAGCATGAATACGAGTGTACCTGTACTAAGGGATTCATTGGAAAGAACTGTGACAGTGAGTAAATAAAAAGTCCCGTGTGAATTTTCTATTACAGCTATAAATAGATCCACCTCTTCCTTCAACACTCGAAGCTCAATGATAAAATGCGTTAATGACGTTTTTCTTTTTCTCCTCCATTTTCTAAGAAAAAGGTAGATGACGTGAAAAAAAATTTCTTTCCACAGGAGCAGACCCATGTTTTCCGTCTCCTTGTGAAAACGGAGCTACCTGTTCATCAGACGGATCTTCTTACTCTTGTACTTGCAGGATTGGTTGGATTGGAAAGAACTGCCAAGGTTTTCAACAATTTAAGATTATGTTACAGGAGATATTTATGGCATTTTTTTTTAATACAGAAACAACTCTTTGTACGCTGAGACTGCATCATCTCTGACAATAGCTATTCCCCTGATTACCCCGCTGTGTCGAAATTCTTTATTTGGTTATCTGAATGGTCCACGGCAACAACATTAATATGCGGCGGGTTTACAAGAGAGATCCTAGCAATTTGCATACTTCCTACTCTAGATGTTGGTGACGCTAGGTTGTAGGATATCCTAACACCTGTCATTTGATCACGTATTTTCCACAGTTGAATCAAAGTGTCTTCCAATCAACCCATGCCAAAATGGTGGAACTTGCACAGAGGCACAAGGAAGATACCAATGTGACTGTAGTCCTGGTTGGTCAGGCTTAAGCTGTGAAGGTAACAGAGAGAATGGGCATTTTAACGACTGCTACAAAAAAAAGTTCTATACGATATGCGTGTAAATATAGCATGTTTAGCTAGCCTGAGAAGTAGCTAATATGGTTTCCAACAGATGTGAAAGTGAGACCCAAAGTATTTATTTTACGATAAAAGAAGTTTTTTTTATATTTTTCACTTACAGTTTCAGCTCCGGAAACCCTTCATCAAAGAGGTATTTCAGTTTTTCTGTAGTACGCATGATGATTCTTAAATAGCTTGGTTCCGCGTAAGAAAACAAACGAAATGATGCATTAAAATATTTATGCATTATGCTGACACTAATTAACGATTGAGCCTCTTATGAGTTTGTAAAAGTTCTTCAAAGGTGTGCTAAAAAGTGAACCACTGATCATAATGGTATTATCAAGGCGCAGAGTAACAATCCACCACCATTTCTTGGGATTATTTTTGAGCACTCAGCGAGGTGAAATGAAATTGGGATACCACTTTCTCTTTGAAAATGACTGTTCTCTTTGAAATTGACTCCACCATCACCCAACTGTGCTACTATAACTTAACAGAAATGCATTATTTTTTTCAAGCTAAAATAGGAGGTTTTCGCATACTTTCAGAATACTAACTTGTAGAAATTCATTTACTTAGTTTCAAGACTCATCTGTATTACTTACTCTTTCCCAAATTTTTAGTAATCTGTGATAATTGTCACACTTCGGATGACTTTATTGAGCAAAGAAACAAACTGCACCACAGACTGACGGCAGTCAAAAAATGGAAAGTCAGCAGAGGATAATCAAGGTACTGACTATCATCTTCAGTCTAACGCTCTCGCAAATAAAGATCGAATTAGTCGATTCGCTTTATTATAATGATACCCAAGGAATCTCCGTAAATCTTTTCACTAAGCTACAAAAATCTGAGCATCGTAAGCGCCTGAGTCAGCTCTCATCATAGTTGAAAAATAAAAGTTCAACTGAATGCTTTATCAAAGATAATTTTCTACTCCATAAAAGCTTAAGCATGACGCACTGAGCTTTCTGATTGGTTTCTTGTAATTTGCAGAGGCATGATTAACCCAGGCCCTGTGAACAAATAAATTGTATCATCCTGGAGCCTAGCTAATTCAAGTTATTCAAATTATGCGGAATCAATATCACATTCTTTGACGCCATTAGAGGTCTACATCGAAGTTCCTTAGCTTCTTACCCAGCACTCTTTGCCCGAGTTACAAGTAAACTGCAACTACTTTTGGGTATTAGCAATGTTACGAGTTCTCATTCTGCAATCATAAAATAACTGCTGCGCAATGAATTTGTCCTCTCATATTTATTTAACACTTCCTCATGATTTACTTTGAACTCGCACCTATAGCGCCTGAAGACACTTGCTTGAAGACACTCGCAAGGAAGAACACTAATCAACAAGACCTCCTCCATTCCCTTAAAGATCCCACATTGCTGTAAATACTACAACTTATGTTCCGTTTTCTGTTATGGACTATGGGGTATGTATCCCTTCACAAAATAAAGTGCTGTCTCAGTCGGGTAGCCATTCTTAATTCCAAATTTTTCCCAACCGAAAATATTTCAAATGACTTCACATAAATTAAACTGACTGTGGCTTTGATTAATTAGTCTTAGAAAAAAAAAAACAGAAGCATTCAAGCCACGCCATGGCGTAGTAATACAGGTTTTTCATAGTGTGGGAACAAAAAAACCAGTGCAACGTATTGTATAATCTTAGAATAATTATCAGATAACTTATTTCTAAGCCATATGAGGTGAGGAGTCTGCATATTTCAGTTGATACCGGATTGATTTTTTAAATATTTTCAGCAGTTAATTTAGACACATTTCAAGTACCTTCAAGTAGCTGAAGATCACAAAACGCCTTCAAGGCGATAATATTTCTGGCTCTTACTGGTCAACGATGATGCAATTATTCGCTCGCTTATTTTACACTAACATTAGAATGACGCTGCAGAAATACGATAGAAAAAATGTAATTATTCCTCACGTCAGGAAAGCGCGTGGATAATTTTTGATAATAAATATGATTGTGTGTATATGTTTCTTTTTTGTCGATGAATTTTTTATATGATATATTGGTCAACAAGTAAGTGAACCTATTAAGTCTAATAAATAAAATAACATGACCAACACAACACTCAAGTACAAGACTATGGGAAGAAAAGGGGTTTTGTCACCCTAGCTCAAACGCAAATTTACCTTTCAATAACTCAATATTTATTGTAGCTTTAGCCGTAAAATGTCGATAAATCTACCGCCAAAAGTAGTTTCAACAAGAAGAGCAAGAGCTATTTTTCAGAATATCGTGGATTAAAGTCGCACCTCATGTAATGTAAACATAGATATTCGATTTAGGAAATTCACCTTTAGTTACTTTTCCACTATTCTTAAAATTTCCACATCATTAGTAAACCTAGCGAACATAAGCAATGGCCTCGATGAGTTAAATGACCACCATAAAATCGTATGAAAGCGGTAAATCACATGGTAGATCTTAGCAAGGAGTGCAAAAGGCAAGGATGCCGCATTCGTTAGATCACTGGGTCACCTATGCAAGGGCTCGATTTCAGCGGGTTGAGGCTATGTCCAGTGCCGATAACGGAGGGAACAGATCATCGAAATAAACCAATTGATCATGAAATTGTTGATGAAAAGACGGTCACAGCCTAAGATAATGTTCTGTAAGGTGACACACGACCAGTCGATCTCTTGACCCAGAGATGTCGAGGCACATCGCGGGAATTACATTGTGAGGCAGATGATTATGGCTTTATCAGCGAGTTAAGTGAGGTGTGTAAGCCCCTCAAAATATTATAAATTTCGAAGTTACTACGGGATGCTTTATTTTCTTGCTAGTACAGTTCACACAATTTTGCGAATATTTTGACGAGTTATAATGAGTTCTGCTTTAAGCATAACGGTCGTAATTTTAAGACGAACGACTTTAATTTCCAGAAATCGCTGATTACTCTATTTTCCGTTCCCCTTAGCTATACTTAAATATTCTTCAGCGAGATAAGGAGATTTTTAATCGCGCGATATTTCCTTTTATTTCATCTTTTTGAACTAGCAGGAAGATCATTAGGTAGAATTTAACTAACTCTAATGATGTTTAATCATCGACAGCGGTTGTTTCTCGCATATTTAATTCTATTTTTCTTTGACTTTTGTTTTGAAAAGGGGGGAAAAATTAAGGAATCAATTAAATGCACGTCCTGAAATCCTCCCGACTAATGCTATGCGAATGATTAATCATTTCCACTCACATCAAACAATCGCTGTTTAGACGTGGCGACAGAGTGCTCTTCATACACTCTACCTACAGTAACATAACCATTGTTTTTCAAGATATGGTAAAAGTAACAAAACTTTAAACAACAGAATGCAGCCATCAAAGAAGAGCGCGTGTCATCATTTGGAAAATAAACAAATCACTCCATTAGAACATAAACTCTAGAAATAAAGAGCATTTCAATTAAACACTCCAGGTAGTGAGCTACTCGAGGGTATAAAGTAACCTATCAACAAATGATTCTAAGTGTGTATCCTTTTAATGTTAGAATATTTACCTTTCGGCTTCCGCTAACTCATGATTGAAGGTTTCCTATCGATCGAATCAAATAACGGTAGCCAAATCGGAAGATTGCCAACTATTTCTTTTTTTTTTTCCACACTGCCACAAATGGATTTTTTTTATCGTTTGTAAATTAATGCTGAAGTAGCACTGGTGTAAACTAAAAATGCTTTTTTTTTGTCCCTAAGGGCTATAAAAAACGAAGTGTTGTCTTCTCCCTTCACAAAAGGAAGTTTTCAAATCGAAACAGTATTTCCAACATGCAGCGTGTGACTCAGCTTCCTCAGTATATACGCGACAACTCCACTCAGACGGATTTGATTTATTCACCTTCAACAATCAAGACATCTTTGATAATTTTAGGGCTTGAAATTATCCTGGGAGTCGTAGGCAATTTAGCAGTATTTTCCACAATACGAAGTTACTGCAATCGAAGTATGTCAGTTTATCGATTGTTGGTTTACAACCTTTGTCTGACGGGCGCTTTAAGCAGTTTGATTGGGATACCCAATCTGTTTGCAGTTATATATATTTCGTTCATCAAGTGGACTTCTGTACCAGCTGCTCTTTGCAGAACAAGGTATTTTTCTTTGACTTATTTCTTCTGCACCGACAGTATAAACATTTGCTTTTTGAGTTTGGATCGCAACGACTTTATTACAAGACCGTTTCGACGAAGAATAACAAAGCGTAATATAAAAACGTACATTGCTGCAATCTGGGTGATACCTTTCGTCATTGCAGCTCTTAATTTTGTCATCAAAATTGACTCAGAAAACTGTGTTCTGGTGACATCCCCTGATGGTCCCTATTCTGAACCCATGGTAGCCTTGCTCTCAGTTATCGTGGCACTTACCTGCAGTTTTGTGGTGACAACCAACTGGTCCTCGGTGAAATCGATGAGAAATCTGGCCAGAAGGCTCAACACATCTAAGAAAAACCATGCACGTTCGGAAAAGAAGATGATCATGTTGACAGTGAAAATTGTTTTAGTCTATTTGATTACCGTAGCTCCCATGTCTCTGTGGTCATTTGGCTTGCGTGCTGCAGGAATTAAAAACTGTGTATTCTGCAACGATGTACGAATTTATCTACAGTTGTTACTTCTCGTTAAATATCTTGCTAATCCTTTTATTTTCATGGGATCGATATGGAAGAAAAAAGGGTCTATAGGCCAAACAGGGTTTTTGAGAAAAAATGGATTCAAAAGCCAAATAGCCGTGGAGTTTAGAAAATCAAAAGGAAGGCATCAACGGAGACTACCGCGGCAGTTTCTTGGAGAAGATTCATCCTTAGGAGGTATTCATGAGCTGACTTCAAGTCGACGAGTGGTAACAATTTATGAGGAAAACGAAGAACAAATAGAATTTAAAGGTAATCAAGTGGCATACCACGTAAACCAGGGAACACAGACAAACTTCCAAGAGCTAAACATCTTCCCAAGTTTGAGCCATTTGAGCGAAATGGACAATTCCTTGCCTAATGTATTGGTACACTCGTTTAGCAGAAAATAACGTTTTTATAGTTTCACGTTTTAAAATTTTACGACAGTAAATTTTGGCTGTTCGAATCAAGTCATCGACGAAGCGTGGATGAAGCCTTCGAAAAATTCGTCTTGTACGGTATTAAAATATTGAGGTTGCGTGCGTGTGGCGGGGATATCGTGCTCAAGTAAATGTTTTTCTACACTTTATTCCGGTGCCGCCCTATCAAAGATAATTCGGCCCCAAGATATGTAGATCATTCAAGCCCTAGGGCATTCCTTTTCAAGTCCTTAAAATAATAAGTAAGAGACATTGTTTTTGTCAAGTGAAATGAAACCAAACATTTCAAAAGCAATTTTCCAAATTTCAACCTTTTCGTAGACGAAGGATTTTGATACACCACTTTAATAAGCAAATAAAATTGAATCAAACGTCTGAATTTCTTTCTTCATTCAAAGGCTAAATTAAGTTTTTTTTTTTTTTTTGGTACCTTGAAATTTCCCCAAGGAAAAAAATCGTTTTGCATAAACCTCTCGTTTTGAAATTGAAATATTCCACCAGATGCTTGAGATCGCTCGTGTAAGATTTTTGTCCACGATATTAAATGTGCAATTTCCTTTGATCCGACAAACCTTTATTTACCCTTTCGTAAAAAGATTTCGCAAAAAGTCACTACGAAGCCCGTGACATCTTTATTTCCACTAAAATGTTTCCGTTCGTAAAAGGGATATTGATGCTTCCTCTAAAATCAAAGAGTGTGAAATGAACCCAAAGGGAGCTGAGCTTATAGTAAATATAACAAAACAAGTTGCCTTGAAATTTGAATCTTACGAAGCAAATCGAAAAATTAAATTCTTTGATAGTAGAGCTTCTGATATTTCAGATATTGCGATTTTAAAAACAATAACAGATATTCCTATTTTAGCGAAAAATTTTGGTCGTTAACAGGATTAATGTCGCAGGTAAGGACGATATAATTACTATAAATTCGGTCTTTTCCTCACTTCAAAGGACAGCTTAATGACAGAAATCGTAAACCTAAGATACGGCCGAATCAAACCAAGCACTATACCAAAGTCGCAAATGGCGATGATACCCCCTAGCAAATAAAATTTAAGGTCCTCTTTAAAGAAATTTGCCGGCTCGCTAAATAAATGCATTAGTGACCTCCATTTCGTTTTTCACGCACAAATGCTCAATTCTGTGGCGTGAGATGATTATAACTAGGAAAAATCACCAAGCAGTCTAAACCTTCAATCAAAACGACAGAAAACACGATGTCCGTGTAAAGTGCTATTACTCAAAACAGTATCCGAGTTCGTTACATATTATTCACCAAAGGTAAAAAAAACAATACCTGGACCCACAGCTACGAGTTAAATAGCCAATGATTATCCCTTCTGGGAGTATATAAGACCAGAGATACACAAACACACACAGGCACAAAATTTGATATAGTAAAGCTGAAATGATTCGAGGAGTGATTTTTTAAGTTAAACTTTGAATCAGCAAAGTTCTTAAACAGTAGGCTACCAAAACTGCTTCACTTTCTTCTTTAGCAGTCATAACAACCTGCTAAGGGCTAACTTCGTGAGCAGTCAAGCAAATCAGCTGGTGACACACCCTATTTAATACTACGTTTTCTATTAAATGCTAAATAAATAGGCCTTTTGAACCCGGACAGGTGCTGGAGTCGCTATTTGTACTAAAAGAAAAGAAAAAACAGACATTCAGCTTTAACGCATAACAAATATAGCGGCTACCGAAATCGCTTTCAATTTACCTCGGCCTCTGTAAAAACAGCAACATTTTTGGTGAAATTTAAGTGTTATAAAGTTGATTGATCGCCATTTCGTTTACAGATCCTCTTAGAGTTAATAGTGCATGTCTGGAGAAATGATGTCATAGGGATTTTCGAACAATTGTGGGCAATGCATAATGTATAGCGTTTTGAGAAGTTGGTTGATACACAACTGCATCTTTAACAAAATGGCTCGGAAATAAGACCCCATATGTAAAGTTGGGAATTTCTACCCAGTCCAAAGAAATGGAGCTTAGAGGTTTGACGACCGTGGTTATTTGGTTAAATTTAGGGGTTATTTTTGGCTCCATGAAATTACATATGGCTGGGGAGGAAAGGTCGACAGTCCGCGGTCAAAACATAGTCAAAAGATCATCACCATCTCATCAAAGACAAAGCAATATTCGAACTCATTTCAAACAGCGTTCAACAAGTGAAGTGCGCAATCTGACGACTATATATAAGAAAAAAAACGTACTTAGACTAAGCATAGGAAAACGGAGAAGCTTATCGAGAAGACTAATTGCGACAAAAAAATTAAGACATGGCTTCCTCGAGCAAATATCAAAGAAAACTGAAACTAGTGCGTATCCCGGAAGGAGAAATATTGCTTATTATAAGACACCGTCGTTTCCCTCACACTTGGATTTTAAACTGGCACGCCGGGACGAGGATGGACTTCTGAAGAGATCTCGAAATAGAGTCAGACTTAAAAATCAAGGAACACCGGCTAGAATTATGGAGTCGTCAAAAAAATGGTTTCCAAAGAAGTATAACATTACCTTGGATACAAAAGAACCCGAAAAAATTAATGCTTCGAGTGAGATGAAACGGCAGCGTATTTCTGATGGATTCATGTTTGCAGACAGACTTAACGAGCTTCCCAGTGACGGCGTGCAGCTGAATGAAAACCCCGATAGCTTCTTTGCCAATCCATTAGCTACCAAGCCAGAGCAACGTATTCTCCATTCGTCGCATTTCTTTTCCCCAGCCGTACACAAGTTTTTGCCCGCTGAACATCGTTTTTCCGGAGAACCCATTCACAGATATCTGTCATCGCCAGTCCTATTTAAGGATGCAAACACAGAGGGTCTCTCACGTTTTGTTGCCAGGGGAGATCCCGGATCAAATGGACTTTTTGAAGGTCCACCGATGCCACCTCTATTTCAAGGCCCACCTTACCATGGAAATCGCGTCATTATTTTTAATAGGCCCATTCATACCCCTGTTCCCGTGCCCGTGCACGGGCCTCCGAGGATTGCAGTTATACATCACCCAGTACCACTACCACCCCAACAGATCCCTGTTCCTGTCCCGATCCCTGGGCCGAGGCCTCCGCAATATATTGTCATTCACAGAGACTTCTCAGGACCCGGTGAGTTTTAAGATTTACAAAACCGTCTCCGAATATTATTGCAATGTTCGGAATGACCATTATTATTTATTCTTTCGTTTTACTTCTACAGCGATTGACCCTTGTGGTGTCAATCCCTGTAGAAACGGAGGTACTTGCACAGCAGTAGTCACAGATTTCAAATGCATCTGCCCAGTGGGATACAAAGGAGAAAGATGTGAAGGTAATGCACCAGTCATGGCGAAGCATGTTTACTTGACAATGATTTCAATCAATATGCTCTTTATCTTACCCGATTGGTTGAGTGGTGACTGCATCAACCTCGCAATTCTGAGTTTCGTTCTTGCTTTTGTTGGATTTTTTTCTCAGTGAATCCCTAATTCAAGTCTTCATTTTAACCTTGCCGTAAAATAATACCTGTTTTGCCTCATGCCAATTGGCGTTTTTTATCATGTTACATTTTATTTCGAAGGTTTCGTGTTAAGTAACTAACTAACTAACTAAGCTACGTAGACTTGTCTACATAAAAAGTATATTTATATATGCCATTAAATGAATGTCAATTTTTCTTCAAATTAAGCACAGAAAAAATATCGTGCGGCTTCAATATTATTTCACTCACACGAAAGGGCAATCAAAAGCTTGAGAAAGAGATTCATCCATCCTCCCCTTCATTGTCCTTCGTTAATTGACTTTCCGCCAATCGCTTAAACTGTTCAGCCAAAACTGTCCAGCAAAGACAATAAAATGGCCTCGTTGCACAATGTTGGTTGACATCTCCTTTTTCCCTGATAAATTAATTTCATATCTAATATTCCAGTTCAAAGCAGATGCTTGCCAAATCCATGCAAGAACTTTGGGAAATGTACCGAACTCCCTGAAGATTTCGAGTGTACCTGTCACACTGGCTTCCATGGAAAAGCATGTGACCGTATGTTGAAAATTGTTCGTTTGCTTTTCTTTTGTAGAAGTTTTGCTTGAATTTAGCAAGTGCCTAAATAGGCCTTAAGCTGTAAATATATTCTCATTAGATATGTTAAGTCTTTATTATTGATTCCTACAATCTCACCTCCTCTATTTGAGAAGAAGAGATCGCACAGCCTTTTCATTGAGGTGAGGTTTTTACCAAAAGCTACTGAACGGTTTCAGTCTCACAAATATTTACCGTACGCTTTTAAGCTTACATCTACTCTAAGAATACTTTTTTAACACGCAATTTGTAGGTAAATGAAGTGTTATGTGTCGCTAAGTGATAACCTCTCGAGTCAGAAAATATTACGCTGTTTCAACCCTCTGATGAGAAGAACTTACTCAACACACAAGCAAGATGCCCACAATAGTTGGGTTTTGATAATGGTAACGATGACAAACGAAAAGTTAGAAAAGTTTTAGAGGATCAAGTAGCTGAGCTGCAATTTACTAGCTTTTTTCATGATTTCATCTACCATTCTTTTTGCTTTTTTTCTTCAGTTGAAAGCAAGTGTGAACCTAATCCTTGCAGAAACGGTGGGGTGTGCACGGAAAACATTGAAAATTACATCTGCTCATGCGCGGCCGGATTTATGGGCAAAAACTGCGAGCGTGAGTAATCACCTATCGTCGCAAGTCTATGCTGATTTTTTTCCACTTACCGCAAGAAACCCGTGAAAAGCCAAGAAATACTTCAATTTAAATCAATTCAGCTATACAAACAAGTAAAAAAGTAATACTTGTTTATCGACTTACATGGAAGGTTTTGGTCGCTATAGTTTAAAATCGGAATGAGTTATATCTTTTGAATAATGGTAAAGCTCCAATGTCTAATTTTTCCAGAAATGATTTCTCGGCCGGTAGCTTTAACAACATTTTTAACAAGTATGTGATCTATCTGCAGGGGAATCTAAGTGTTTGCCCATCAACCCATGTAAAAACAGCGGCGTGTGCACGGAAGACCTGAGCGGTTACAAATGCAATTGTAAAGATGGATTTGACGGAGTCAATTGTGAAGGTACGATAGCCCCTGAATCCGACGCAATATTCTATACTTGATGCCATTATCATGTCAAAGGCAGAGGGAAAAAAAAGGAAACAGCATGATGCTGTGTTTTCTTAACTAGGTATAAGATTACTTACAATATTAGCGTGTATCATAAACTTTCAGGTTGTTTCGAGTCAGATTTCTCTGAGAGGTCATCTCGGGAGAACAATGTGTTTTTACAGACTATTATTACGTGTGACCTTTAATGAAATTATTTGTGTTCTTAGTTCGCCAGACAAGCACTGCCTGCGACAGTACTCCTTGCTTAAATGGCGGTACCTGTATCACTGACATCTACGACTTCTCCAAATTTTCATGTTACTGTGGGTCGGGCTTTACTGGATTGAGCTGCGAAGGTATGAACCATAGAAGTGGCACCTAAAATCATCTTGGGATTGATGCAATTTCTAAAAAAAAGATCTTTAATGCATGGACTATGGGTCTACAGAGAAACACTTCTCTAACTCTGTTATCAGAAACGGCACTGGTAAATGACCGGTCTACTACGTAGTTTTTCTTCTTCAATGTCAGTTAAATCATCTCAGTCCCTTTAGTTGACAAGTTGTGGCTCAATCATGATATGAGATGCAATGGACAACTGATTAAAAGCTTGGAATCAAACGTGTTCATTATTCTGCTTTCTTTGGCAAACCCCTTGCACTACCTTTCTCTTCGAAAGCATTTGGCAAAAGCCCGTCGGGGAAATTCGACGGAATTTGGAGTTAAAATTGTGATGAACAATCATCCATGCTTTTGGGGAATAACAATCCTTCTTGTTCCTTCACACTAAAAAAACTTAGATACACTTTGGAAGCTACACATGTGTTAGTCATTCTCATTAGCAATCTTTATTTCGCTTTTACAATCCCTTTTATCTCGTTTCTCGTCCTTATTTTCTTAAATCCACTTTTTGTATGTGCATGACTAACAACCTGGAACATGTGCATGACTTTCGTGTTACTAGAACTTGCATGTAACAGTTGCCCAGGGATATGCATCATGGGAGTGTGCAAGGCAAGTATCGAGTCCCCAGGTATGTCCCGCTCAAATAGTAATTTTCTTTGTGATGGTGATCACATGGTTAATGATAGGGAAGTTAGGGTTAGTTTTTTAACCTCCTTAGGTTCACAGTGTGACATGTTTCAATTGGAAAAAATCGAAAAAAGATGCCAACTAAAGATTGATTATTCAAAGATGGCTATATCTGTTTTTCTCATTAAGAGCAACGAGAAGATGCAAATAACAGCACTTGTAATTCAGCGTTTAATCAAGATACTCGTCTTCACAAAGTATTTTCAATATATTAACAAAGTTGAAATGGTAAATTGGCCGCCGTTACGATTATAAAAGCTGACATTTCGAGCGTTAGCCCTTCGTCGCAGCGAATAGAGGAATTGTGGGTTGTGTGTGCTTTTAAAGGCAGAAAATGGAGCTATGTAATGTCGACCAATAACCGCAGTCAATTCTTTTCACCCGGCTCTGAAATATTCCTGGGAAATTTCTGACAATTCTTTATCCTCTTTAGACATCAAAGTTTCAATTGAAGGCAACGGTTTATGCACTGGTGTGTATTACAAACCTACAGACTCGCATAATTACTTGTTATATTCGTCTTCGCATCCATCT